GCAAACAAAATCAAAAATGTCAAAAAATCGCATTTTTGCCGCCTCAGAAAGAGCAAAATAAGTGAGTCCTTTCTGATTTTTTAGCAGAAATTTTTTATGAAAGAGTTTGATGAAATCAAGTCAGCGGTACTGCTCAGTCGACTATGACACTGTGAGCAGTCTTGTGCAACTCAGCTATATTCCAAATCAAGTCATGCTTAAGTGAAGGTTTCTACAAGGAGATGTTCCTCGATTTTCGCCTATAAAATCTTCTCCACTGTTACTTCATTAATTCTATAGAATGCGCAGAATAGCCAAAGATTTGCGGATTGTAATACAGTTTAAAGCAATTGCAAAGATTATTTCTGAGAAGAGTTACCTTGAATCAAAGTCAAAGTTCAAGAAAGGGTAGAACTTTTGAAACAACCCAATACACTATATACCCTATTCTACCGTAGTTTTGCAGCTGCACTCAAAATCAGCGTCCCTCTCTGAATTTCTGATCGATCAACTTCGCCGGTTCAACGCCTTTTTAGGCACAGGCGCATAAACAAAGAAAGTACCCATGCGTGCTGATTCACTCCAAAATGCATTTCGAAATTTGGCTAATTCGTAAAAACGAGAAAAAATAAGAAAAAAGTGCCGCGAAGACGTGAATGCCAAAAATGCAAGTGTAGATTAACTGCCAAGGAAGGTTTAGATAGCAAAGAAGAAGAAATCTATGGGTTTCCAATTTATCAGTGGAAGACGAATATTCTGTGCCAAAATAATGTCTAATCTGTCAAATCGTTATGCCTACTAGTAGTAGTAGTCGATCGGTGCCCATCCACGGAGCGAAAATGTATTAGGTTGTCCGGAAATTAATGCCCGTTTTGAATTTCAACCGCATAATTCATATACTTCTCATTTCTAAATAGGTACCATAAATAAGTACCATTCGACAGAGCAAAGCAAGCTCTACAAGATGGCCTTCTTGCTTTTGCAACAGCTCTCACTCACCTCGTGTTTCGAGCCAAAAACTAAAAAGACTCAGCAGCCCAAAAGATCGAAAAAAATCGTAACTCAACTCATAAAAATCCTACAAAAATTCTTACTTGCTCACGTAAACACTATCCACATAAAACATCTATATACGCCTTTGCCGCATTTGTCTCTGTTAGAAACCAAGAATACGGAAAAATTTTCGTGCATTTCCCTAGGTGACGCTGAGCCTTCCCCGCATAGGTAGTCGTACACCACAAGCCCGTAGAGGTACAGACTTGAATTTGCAGCTCTCTACAAGCCTTAGTTCTCGAGAAATACCGGATATAGTTTTGCCTAGCTAGGTGGTCCAATCTAAAGTTCAAATTTCTCGAGAGCTGAAGCGTGTAAATAGCTGAGAATTTACGTTTGTACTTCTACTGGTTTGTAGTATACAACTACTTATGTGGGAACGGCACAGCATCACTTTGGCAAATGCATGAAAATTTCCGTTCTCTTGATTTCTAACAGAGAAAAAAATGCGGCAAAGGCTTATATAGATGTTTTATGTGGATAGTGTTTACGTGAGCAAGTAGGAATTTTTGTAGGATTTTTATGGACTGAGTTACGATTTTTTTTCGATTTTTCGGGCTGCTGAGTCTTTTTAGTTTTTGGCTCGAAACTCGAGGTGGGTGAGAGCTGTTGCAAAAGCAAGAGCCATCTTGTAGAGCTTGCTTTGCTCTATCGAATGGTACTTTACAACCTCTAGAAATGAGAAGTGATGACTTATTGCGGTTGAAATTCAAAACGGGCATTAATTTTCGGACAACCTAATACATTCTAAATACTCACCCTTTCGTCAGGCATGCTGCTCCACTCGCTGCTACCTGTAAGTGTTGAGCCCTCACTTGCCGTAACGAAACACAGTAAAGAATAATTGTTTATTAGGAAAATAAATGAATAATAGAAAAACAGGTTTATTGTTGCAAGAAGCGATCAATTCGGTAACGAGCAGCAGTGGTCGACGTGTAGGGTGCTGAGCGTACCGCTCCAGATGGTGGCGTCCTCCCGCTTGCTTTCCTTCGCCTCCTCAAGTTGCCCGCGCCTTATCAGCTCGATCTTAGCTTTACTGACTGCGACGTTCTCTTCTGTAAACAACCGTATCACGGCTATTCTCCCTTACAGTGTTAGCACCTCGACGTGCCCCTACCACGTCGGGATGCTGGCAACTTTCTCTTTCAAGAGAAGACAATATTTCTCGTGCTTTCTGACCTGCCGGCAGCTGCCACCTCGCAGAATTCGAAGAGCTGCCCGCAGCTCCTCCTGCGCTTCCCAATATGTTCCCATAGGAAAATTCTGGAGCCTCAAATTTTGATGGAGGTTTCTTCAGAGTCGTGGTGGCACCTTCAACCAGGAATTTTCTTGGGCAAAACCTTTGAACGGCCTGGATTTGGAATCTTACAAGGGAAGTCACTTAAAGGTCGGACTTTTGAAATGAGACACATATGGTTGGAATCAGCTTGAAACGCTGATTTCAAATCTGCTTTCCTTAGCTGCGAAGCGTTCCTCTGAGGCGAGTCATGGGCTTTTTCCTGAGTAAATTTTGCGTGTTGACCGACTTAGGCATGCTACGGTATCATCATCTAGGTAGTGGGGTAAATGCATATTATACCTTATCAAAGCCAAATGACTCAATTTGATGTTATTTTGATTTTCCACCACTTTTTGGGCAGATTTTCATCCAAAGACCTTCTTTCCATATTCATTTGTATGTCAATGACACATACTAAAAAAGCTCATAACTCGCTTCAGAGAAACGCTTCGCAGCTAGGGATAGCATATTTGGAATCAGCGTTCCGAGCTGATTCTAAATATGTGTGTCACATTTCAAAAACCCGACCCAAGTTAAGTGACTTCCCTTGTTAGTTTTTGGTGACCTCACGGCAACGTGCCGGCGACTTGCCGAGAGACCTGACGCCAGGTCGGGGATTTACCGGCCCAGAAAACTCATATATAATCAACTTGTCCTGACAGAAGAGATTGAAACTGCTATTTCAAATCTTCGGCACAAACTTGCAATATTTTCGTTGACTTCGTAGAAATAAAAATAATTTTGATACTGAATTTAGGAAACTAAAAAGTGCAGTGCTCCACTGTGAATTTCCAGGGAGATCACAACATCAAAACAGTGGAAGCTACACCATATAGCGAAGCGCTGTCAACAGACATGCTTTGGTATCAGGACAATAGAGCTTCAGAGCCAACGACACATGCAGTCCTTCACAGCTTCTCTCCTCTCTTCTGCTTGTGTACCTTATGGACACTATTTTGACGATAAAGTCGTCTAAAACTCTTACCGCTTCCTGTTTTTACGTGCTAATCCTATGCATGTTTGTCCGAAAGGTGCATAAATGCTACATATATTTGAGTATTTAACATAAATATTCCATTCTTCCCTTTCTCAAGTTCTACATGGATCAGGAATCAAGCAGAAGTTTGCCAAACTTCTTGATGGCTTGCTTATCTTTATAGAGAACTTTTCTAGTAGCCGATTACAATCTGATTCTAATCATTATTTCAACCAGACTCTCTTTCATTCCCGCAAGACGAATCTGTGCAAAACATTTGATAGTGTACTTTGAAAATCCTAGATTATGTGCATTTGCTGAGCCTTAATTAGTAAAGTCTGTTAAAATTCTCTATTATGCTTACGTTTCGGCGTTTCGCTTTTGTCAGAGCCTAAAAAGCGGGGAGCAAACGAGAACTATCCTTTGGATGTCTCATCACATACAGAAAAAGTTCAAAGTAGTTTTGCGTATGCAAATCCCTCTTCGCTGAGTAAGGGACTGCTCCCACCATTCGTAGGCGTTAAGTGACTAATGAGCTAACGTGAGCATGAATGATGATCTTGTATCAAAACATACATAATTCCATAAATTGTGACTTTTTTTACATTCATTTTTGAATCTCGGTAAGAATACATTCCGGCTTCTAAAGTTTTACGAGCTGGTGTTTCTTTCTCGCGCCAGAATCGGCACCGAAACATCGAATTCTGCTCCTTCGTGGCGCGATTTTCGCTGCGTCCTAGCGGAGACAACATTCCTATCTTGCTCATCCCGTCCATGTGTTCTTTGACTTTAAGGGCCGCATGCACTAACATCCCTGCGGCGAGGGGAGCGGCGTCCCCAATGATGGAAAAGCCGCAGCGGCGTCCGCACGCGGTCCCTTCATAACGGGGGACGCCGCTCCCCTCGCCGCAGAAATGTTAGTGCATACGGGCCTAAGACGCAGTGGTCTACCCTCTCCCGATATGTTCGTCGCTACATGCTTTACACATCAAAAGGTAAGTCACGCCCGAGCACATGCAATCTCCTTGCTTATTCGTGGAAGTTAATCTCTTCACCGCTCCCACAAAGAAACAGAATTTGATATTTTAGTGTCGATTCCGGCGCAAGAAACAGAAACAGCAGCTTGTGAAACATTAGGCCTGATGGGTGCCCCCCCCCCCCCAAGAATTCACAAATGAAACGAAGGAAAAAAGAGTGTGCCGTTATAACAAATGAACTGGCACCATTTAGGGAACTATGTGGTTGATACAAGATCAACATTCATGCTCACGTAAGCTCATTAATCACTTAACGCCTACGAGTGGTGGTAGCAGTCCCTTACTCGGCGAAGAGAGAGTTGCCTACGCAAGAGGCTACTTTGAAGTTTTTCTGTATGTGATGAGACATCTAAAGGATAATTCCTATTTGCTCCCCATTTTTTAGGCTTTAACGAAGGCGAAAAGCAGAAACGTAAGCCTAATAAAGACTGCACGAGTTGTACGTTAAAAATCCAAGATTTCTTAAAGGCAAACTCCCGGATTAATCATTTATTGTTATCGGAATTGAAGCTCGGAGTCGGCTCGGGTTAACTAATTTTGGACAGTTCTGATCATTCTAGTAAAAACGATATATAGCACCTGTGCGAAAGATGTTGCATTCCTTTACTTATTTAATCGGAGCCGCGAAGCTTCAGAATTTATCGTTATTTTAACAGCGACAATTTTGACCATCTGAGACAAGACTTGTGAAAAATCTCATTTATGTCACATGTTCAGAATAGCGTTCAATACATTGTCCACATCCGTTGGCTTGTAGTATAATGGAACAGTAACATCAACTCCTCGTCTTCCCACCACCTCAGACATGTCGGCTCCTAGAAAGCGTGTTTTGTGAATTCTTTTATTTCAGTCAGTTTGGAGAATATTGGAGTGGTAACTGAAAAGGAAAATCTACACTTATCAATCTATTGCAAAAACAGACCTCCAAATAAGCTGCCTACAATTTTTCTTATTGGTTAAAGGCAACTGTACAGATTAGCAGTGTAGAGGCACCCTCTGTCTAACTCCGATGAAATAGATGGTGCATAAACATTTTCAGTTAGTGTTCTTAGCGAGAAATAGTTCAAAATTTTTCCTATTATTTTTGTTCATTTTCGTCTCGACTGTTTACGACTGCCTGATACAGTCAGTATGCAAATTCACTTTACGAATCATCTTTTAACACAGCTCACCGGCAAAGCCAACTACAACAAGATGCTTTATTCTCTTATTTCCAGGGTCCAGCTCCGGTAAGAATTGAGTGTTGTTCCTAAATCAGCGTGATTACATATCATAGGGAAACAATGTATAGCTATATATAAATGATAAATTCTCCGCAGCTTATAGACAGCGAGCAGTAAATAAAAGCTAACCCACAAATCAAGTTTCAAGATGTGTCTACATCTTGAAACTTGATTTGTAGGTTAGCTTTTACACTCACACCAATACAGTTTGAACCACCTGCAATATGTTCTGTGTCTATCCGAACTCTACCGCCTTCAATTGCTCACAAATATTTGGTACGCAAAGTGTATAATTTCACACATAAGAACACAAGAACCAAACTGCAGAAACTGCTTCCTTGTTGCTTGCCAGTCACTTAAATGATTTACACAAAAAATTCAGCAAATTCTCATGCCTGTACATCCGACATGCGGAAGAAAAATCATATACCAACAGTCTATTTGAGGCCATTTATGTTTACCTATGTGTTGTAACTGTTCCGGTCAGTCTACATAAATTAATAGAAGGTTAGTATTGCTTTCAGAACAGATGCTCCGATATTGTCGGTCCATTCTACAGCTCACTGTACAAGTTTCACCGAATGAGTTCTTGCAAATCATGCGCCAAGATAGAAAAAGTGCTGTACAAAAGAGACATAGCATTTTTTTCATTACATTTGAAAATACTGCTAAAAAATCGTCTTACAATGAAGATTTGAAAAAACCACGCGGAAAATAAGTGAGTATATATATGTTGAAATTTCTCAACACCTGTGCTTTCTCCCTTTGGCCTCCGCCACAGTGGCGCAAGCCATGGAGGTGGAAGTCAGGTAGAAGGAACGGCTAAAAGTGGGAAATCGAAGAGGTTAGCCATGCGGACCAAATCGCTCGGTGCGAACCCATTTTGAGCGCGCTCTTCTCGGCGTTGAGAGGTCATATCGAGTTGGATTTATTGCATTGGACATTTAGTGGGCCCTATAGTAGCATATGGAGATCCGGAAAGCCTAGAATTTGATGAGACATTGCCTTTGAGGGTCATCACATCGAAGACTCATCAAAACTGCGATGAGTCTTTGGGTGTGGGTGGGTGTGTCTCACCAAATCACCATAGCGAACCAAGAAAATTGTAGGTGTCGCTCCACTTTCAACACTTTTAGTGAGAAATTAGGTAATGCTGAAAGAAATGTAACAGAACACTAGACACTTATTTCTGTTTATTTATGTCTCTAATCAAGTCAGCGCAATATCTGATTATCAGCTTGGAATCGAGTGAAGTCACCATAAATCTGCGTCACTCTTATTCGCTGAAAGTACTCTCCATGACAGCATACTTCTCAAATCTCATGGTTCGGTGGATGTAACATAAGTGCTGAAGATTGTGCTCAGCAGCGTTAAAATACTCTCGGTTTTGATTGTTACCATAGATTACAAGTCAGTTCAAACATTCCGAACCACTTGAAGCAATTCTTAAGGGGCGTTGCAAGTATCTATTAGGTCGGCCAACAATAATTCGGGTCGGTCTTGCAGCTCCTACAGACGCTACAGACAGTTTTTTTTGTCCAGTACTAGGTACCGCTGGAAAAAGCACTTCGAAGAGAATTTCCGACACAAAATCTGTTCGAGTAGACCTTATTCTACAAGGAAAGAAATCCAAAAAAATTGTGAAATTCAATTTTCTCATTGTACGCAAATAAATAGAATTTGGTTTTTTGGGTCAAAGAATTTTAAACCGGCAGATCCAAATTTTTATCGATAGTCGCAAGTAAAAAAATATGTCTGTGTCCGAATGCCAATTTGCTGCTCTCTTCATCCATTAGCTTGAAAAGCTTTGAAAATTGCAGATTTGAGCTTTCGAATTTTAGCCATATTGGGGCAAAACTGCCCCTTGCTCATAATTTGAAATCCTAAATAGTTGATTTGTGATAATAAATATTGATATGTGATTCAAGACGCTTTGAACTACTTACCTACAAATATCATGGGTAAAGAACGACTAGGAAAAATTTTACGCATCTTTTCATAACAAAACGAAATTTATTTTGGCCAACCTAGTAGAATTACAAGTTTTCATAAAGTCAAAAGAAGAAATCTTTCTGTTAAATCCATATCATATTTTTTTCAACAGCTTTCACACCTAACGATATTTTTTGATCATTTTCTCAAAATTCATCATCTACTAACCCTTAAATTTTCTTCAAGCTTCTCATTTGATGGTTCTCTATTCGGCCAATATTGTATCTGGTAGTCGATTTGTGTTAGATTATTCTTAAAGTAGTAAAGCTTACTGGGCTGAGAAGAAAATCAAGCAGTTTATTCGGCTATCGCTCTTCTGTTGATTGAACATGTTGATGGCCCTGCAAATTAAATTTTAATTATTCTAAAAATTCTCCGACCATAAAACGAGCTTCACGGTGCTTTTCATGCCTCAAGAGATTAGACTTTGTGATAACCCAGTTACTCATAAGCTGACAGCTAAGCCAAAAAAAAGCATCTATGTAGTAGGTGGAATATAATCTTACCAAGCTGTTGACGTTGGGTTCTCAGACTCTCCAAAAAACTCCATTTCAACCAGATCATCCTTGAACTCATCAAAATTATTTCTTATTTTATTCAAATCTGGAGTTCGTGGGAATGTGGTGTAACCGTATGCCCAAATTCCTGCCAAAGGCTTGTCCTCTTCCCTCATGAAGAAGTGGTGGCCGACTTCTTCAATGAATTTGCGTTCCTGTGAATCGCACACATTAAGATTTTTTGATGTGATGCTGTAACTTGGGCTTATTTTGAAAACAACGCTGGCGTGATGAACTGAGCCTTGAAAGAAGACGATAGTCAGACAGATAGTAAGAGTTTAGATTTAACACTTCTAATTTGAAGTGGGGGAAATGATTTTCGCTTGAGCAGAGCAGAGCATGATAAAAACGGTCTCATCATTGCACAATGTCGTTGGTGCCATTTGAACTTTGAAACGTGTCAAGATATACGTGAAGCTAATCACTTTTCGTTAATGGCGTTCAAGAAATCTTGCGCGAGAAAAGGAATTTTATCAAGCGAAGGGACCTCTCAAAAAATTTTCGAAAACATTTTGTTGGGCCTGCTCGAAAGCTTCGAAAAAATCGGGCATGTAGGAACAAAGGCAATTTTGAATATTTTCTGAAATTTTTGAAATTTCCAATATTTACAAGTATACCGAGTCACTTTACTTATGTAGGTAATGTCGGGACACTTTGCGACCTTCGGGAGGGGCAGGAGGAAAAAGGGTTTGTGGTTTCTCTCTTTTCTCTGCCACTGCTGTCTAATTGTAAGACAAAACGAGTGCTCCAAAAACGCTGAACTTATAGATTTTCATATAGCATGTCGAGTTTTCGTTAGAAATCTTTCGCCTACAGGAAGTGCATGGAGGGGGAAGGACTTTGCTCCTAATGACTACAAACCTTGAGCATCTGCCATGTTAGATCTCTCTTTGCGCATAATCGTTTCAAAGATGAAGTCTACAAGTTTCAGATAACATCGCAATATCACAAGTCAACTCTTCGGCTAAAGGCTACTAATTTCGATAAAGCCATGTGTCACTGTTGTATCTTCCTCCGTGAACCAATTATGCTACTTATCTAGGAGACACTATCTAAATTTTTGCAGGATAAAATTGCTTGTTACTTACAATAGCATAACTGTCTATGGTTTTAAATGGGGTATATAGATCTCCGACAAACAGACATTTCCTTTGTGAAAACGCTTCTGAAATAAAAACCTTATTAAGTTCAGTCATTCTTTTTCTAAAAGTATTGTAGACAACTCAGCCAAAACAAATGTTTGCTTTAAATTGTAAGTAGGTGCTAAATAGATTGCAATGAAGATTGCTTACTTGTTGTAGTCTTTTCGGCTGTAACACTCGCTGTAATGAAGAATTCAGCAAACAGTTTTCCATTGTCACTCCAATTATTGAAGAGGCTCTCTTACCTGGAGTAGGATGCGTTGTTTGCTTCGCGGTTGTTGTGCGATGTCTGCAAATCACTTACTCAAGAAGCAAGATTTCGAGGAATGTAAGCAAACTAGAAATGTGACAGCCACGAAAACTTCATCACGAATATTGCGGCACAGGATTTGCATATGAAAATAAAGACTCAAATCTTTGATCGCTTATATATAAGATTTTCCATGTGCATCTTATCAGTTAATTTGTATAATTCTCTAATTCTAGAAATTAAGCTGATCTGAAAAGTTTTTTGCCCTTTGTTTATCGTATCATAAGTTTCCAGAAACTGAGGGAAACTGACAGGCTGAAAATTCCAATGGAGCTCGCGTTCAAAATCTTTTTAAAATTGCATCCTCTCAGAAAGGAGTTTTTGCAAATTTAGATTGCTCAAAATTGCTTCTTCCTTGATTAACAGATTTGGCAAAGTGAACTATAAAGAATTACATATTGTCTGGTGAAAACGGCATATATCTCACTCCAAAATGGTTGGCAGATTTATCCGCTTAGGAGAAGCATGAGGTCAAATGTCAACATTCTGAGCAAAAAATTGATGAATTTGAGAAAGATGTAGATTTCATTTTGTAAAGCGCATGCCTTGCTCTATTTGGCACCTGGTTATTATGCAAACAATAAGAGCAACAGAAAGGAAAAACTGTGCAAGCTCTAAATCAAAAAAGCAACGCTGTACCACATGAGTTTCTAGTCTTTTCTAATGTCGCGAGATTTGGTATCCATTAACTTGGCTGAAATAATTAGGAAGCTTTCACAGTGATCTGATGTACATATTACCTTCCAAAGATAGCTTGCAGAACTTTTTGTCTGTCATCAGAGAAATAGTAAAACACACTGACAGCTACACCTCTTTCTTCAACTACATAAGAGAGATCCGTACCTGAAAACCTCATTTGGGTTTGTGATCAAGAGTAAAGCGTGTGCTAAGAGACGAATGCCGGTAATGGCATGCTCAGCCACTTGTAAGATGGGAATCCTAGATTACCGACTAATCCTACACCAACAATTCGTTTGATCTTCTTGTTTAGCGGATTTAGTTTTGGTAGGGCGCTTGCATTCCTCCTAAATGTCATCCGCACTTGGAAAATAAAAGTGCCAAAATACGTATTTGCTTACGGTGCGCAGAAAAAGACAATGCAATTTACTCTTTTGTCATTGGCTGGAAGGTTGTTGATGATTTCAATTGCCCTGAATGACTATTCCGGTATGTAGCTGCCCATCCATAAGAATAACCACTCACCTTGCAGGGGTCATAGGATTATCAGTTTGATGATACTTCATGTTTTGTATATCGCTTGAGAATGCGGTGAAATTGTTATTGATTTTGTTGAGATCTGGAGATTGAGGGAAAGCCGAATACCCATAGGCCCACAGTCCGCCATTCGTAATAGTGCTTTTATCGGAGAAGTAATCAGTAGCAATTTCATATATGAACGACGCTTCCTGCATAGAAAACTTTTCATCTTTTACTGAAGCCGTAAGCTAGTTTTTGAAATATGGACGCTATATACTTAGCTAATTTGCAAACTGATAACTGTGATGAGATCTAACAGATCACAAGCTATTATTTTGCTAAGAAACTAAAAATTTGACCGTACAGAGCCACGTTCGGCTTAATGCTGGGCCAAAACATACAGCTTACTTACTTTGGATCCTTAAAGCCCAAAGCTGAGCTGAAAGTGCAACAATGTGCTCAATCTCACAGTTTTCATGTACAATTTTATCAAAATAAAACTGCTTGTAACTTCGTTCACAGAAGCGAAAAGCAGATAAGAAAGGCAGATTTGAAGTCAGCGTATTATAATGCATTGAATGCTACACAGCTTGTTTGGTTTGGCCACTTCAACTTCAGACCATCCCCTTGTTAGGTTTTTTCGGATTCTTCGCAGTAAAATTATGTGCTTACATCTAAATATGAGCTACTGTAGTTTCCGAAGTTGTAAAGGTCTCCAACGAATAAGCACTTGAGTTCATCCTGGGTTGCTGTAATGCATCCTACCCACAATAGAGCCACTCATAATCAATGAATACTGCTTACTCGTCGTCGATTGCTGAGTCCCTACAAAAAAAGAACCATTTATTTATAAGGATGCTGCCATCTTTACCGCTCTTAGAGTTGTTAGCGGTAATCCACTGTAATCGTATGATCAGCCGCGGAGCACACTTTTCTCATGTGTCAACTACGTTCATGTTTTGTTCATGAGAGAAAAAGTAGTCTTTCCCGGGGTGAAGTAAAACATGGAACTGAAGAGATGATTGTTCAAATATTCTAAAGCAGTGACAGTTGCCGCTTAATCTACCGCTAGTAGGTTACAAGAATAACAACTGCAACAGCGGTGATGAAGAAAACTTTAAATGAAATTGAGAGTAAGTTTGCTTGGGCCAAAAATTTACCTGTTGTCGATCGCTCTGTTGTTTTTGTGGTAGTTGTCGGTTGGTATCTGAATAGATGTTAAGCTAGAAGTGTTTTCGGATGCAGATCAACAAAGGACAAAGATTATGCAATGTTGTTCTTGTCTTGGCGGTTTGACACCCAGATTCTCTAACCCTAAGCTAATGGTGAAAAATTTGGCGACAGTTCGTAGCATAACTCAAATGACTAATTTGATCTCAAAATTGATGCTTCAATTGAATTACCTTCCCATTATAGCATTCAAAACGTATCGAATATCTATGTCTAGCCAATAGTACGGAACAGTCATGGCGATGCCTCTTCCTGCGATCCATGTCAAATCGGCACCTAAATCATGGTACCATACGCGACAAATATCTGTGTACATTATAATCCAGAAGCTTTCCTGCAAATCCTACACCAACAATTCTTCTTATTGCAGGCTGCGGGTTGAGTATTGGCAACGCAGTACCATTTCTTGAAATGAGATTAGGCAGCGGTTGCGCTACAACTTCACTAACTTACTGTGCGGAGAAGAAAACCAGGCAATTTATTCTATTGTCATCATCGTTTAAATCGTTGATAACCTTTATAGCACTAGAATGTGTGCGTCAACGCTTGCGAAAAAAAATGAAGATGTTACTTACCCCGCCGTTGACATTGGCTCTGAATCGTACTTATATTCCATGTTTATCAGTTCTTGCTGGAATTCACTGGATGTCTTACACATCTTGTCGAGGTTTGGAGCTTGCGGCATGTTTGTGTGCCCGTATGCCCATAAGGCTGCTTTTGCATTAGGTAAAGCAGTGAAGAAGTCGTATCCAAGATAGGCGATGAATTGCTGCTCCTAAATCAAGCCTCTTGCTTCGATGAGCAGGCGTCTTGTATACAGTGCTGGCCAAAAGTTTGCAGCCACTCTGGAATTTTGCTATATCTTACTCTGTTTTGCCTAGAACGAATCTGTATTTTGTTATTATGTGCAAATCACACTGCTTAACAAGTCAAAAAATTTTGCAGTTTCATGCACACAGAATGGGCCTCTGGGCAGAATAGCAAAAACGGCAGATCCGCAGTTGTTCAAAAATTTACAGCTACATTCTGCTAAACGTCTTTGAAAAGCTTATCAACCTCCAGTATCTGAGCTACAGGTGCAACCAGCATTCAGGAGTGCTGAGATGTGCAGTGCAACCAGCATTCATTGAATTTCAAAAAGGAGACTTTACGGAGCGAAGTTGCTTGAACGCCAAGTGAATGCTAAACTTGGACAAATAATTAGGTTAACAAGAAGTCACCGACTACTTCGTGCTCCTATGGAAAAATTGTACTATCTGGACGTTTTCTGAGGTCTGCGAATATGAGAGGAAAATCATTACTTGGCATGTTTCAACATCTAACACCACCTTCACTCAAATTAGGAGCACCTTTTGGCTTAAAAGTTGAGCTCAGCATTGTAAAAATTACTCAAAGTTGAGAAAAGCTTGACTTGATGAGGAGATCCCTGGTTCGCATCTCGCAAAGCTTCATTGAAAGTATAGCTGGCTGCAGAAATTATGCGATTATCACATCTAGAGAACATTTTCTTTGTCAAGGGGGATTATTAGAGGTAAGAACTGCGCGAACTTGTCTGCAGCTGTGGCAATTCCACGCCTTCAATGAAGCTCTGCGAGATGGGGACAAGGGCTCGTCTTTCTTAAAATCAGGGTTTTCATCAAGTCCGAGTAATTTTCAAACCGACTGTGCCCAACTTTTGAGCTGGAAGGTGCTCCTAATCAGAATTGAGATGATGGTAGACATTGAATCATGACAAGCAATGATTTCCTGTCCCATTCGCAGATTGCCAGTAAAGGTCCAGATGGTACGACTTTTCCATAGGAAACTTTTCCAGACAAATCTGTAAGAAAGGTAATTTGAAACTTGAAGTTGAGCTTGAAGCATCGCTTCGGAAGTTGTAAGCGGCGGTAAACTATTGAGCTTTTGCATGTGTCACAGTTTAATTCAGCTGTCATGAGATTGATCATTCAGGAGAACTTCCTGAGGTGAACCTAAGACCGCTCACTCCCGCGCTTTAGGATTGTCGGATAGTCAGTTAAACAGTCAGAAGACCGTCCGGCTAAGTGCCACGCTCAGTCCGATAGAACGCCACTTAGCCGAGGGCAGGTTTTAGGGTGAACCGAGGGAGATAGTGTGCAAGGGAAGAGAATCAGACAAAATGCCCTTACGTTGCTCGTGAGTGACCTACGGGAAAATGTTGCAATGCAAAACTCATGAAGTGTACAATTTCGCGACCCAGGAAGGCGAGAATCGATGAACAACTGACTGCGGCGAGAAAATAGAAAAATTTTCTTCTTTTTTTTTTGCAAAGTTAGCTAAGGTATCTTTAAAAGCTGCATAGACCTGTTTTTGTTTATTCCGTTTGGTTTTACGTTTTTCAGTTTTTCATGTTATCTTCGTCAAAATATCGTAATTTTGTTTTCTCCATTTATCTGCTAGGCGATATCCTTGATGGCGGTCATTATCAATTTTCTGGATAGTGGCCGCTATCAAAGATTGCCTGACGTTGGCGCAAAAATGTCTCACTAGCCGGCCTCGAATCGTGGCCTTTCGTGTCTGATTCCATTCAATTAAATTTGACCAAAAGTGCTCAGGGTGTTTTGTTTTTGAAAGCTCCCAAGATTTTTATGTCTCAAAGGCGACCCACTAGATCAACAGCTCACTGTATGCCGGACTGAGGCGTCTTAGGTTTAGCGTAGGCCCGCCACAGCCGAATTGCGCTGGACAAGGGTTTACTACGGGCCTGTTTCTTTCAAGCAAAACTTGGCAGGTACCTTTTGCAAAAATTCGTTCTTGCACTCTAACGACTTGCCTGAATGTAAGCATCTGTCTTTGTGCCAAAGCTATAAAAATCAACAACAAACAAGCATTTGAGTGGACCCAGTGGCTCTGAAAAAGTAGCCGCATTATCAAAACCTCAAACTCTTGAGGATTTACTTGTTGTCGTAGGTGGAGATGAAGAACTTTGCGTAGTTGATGTTGTTGTAGTCGTTCGTCTAAAATACTAATCAATGCAAAAATACTACTCAATTTCGCAAATGACGCCAGTAGGATAAACATATTTACCCAAAAATTGCATCAACTATAGCTCTTATATGTGATTCCACGTAGAAGAATGGAACTGAGACAAGTTCGCCGATTCTTGCAGGTACAAGTTCGCTCGGATTGGTTCCTGCATTTAGATCATTGTTGAACTAACAGAATCGAACAGTGTTTCGCAATGTACTTGATAAGCAGTGGACGATATTTAGTAAGGAAGGGGAGCAGATGCATGGTTGATGCTAACTTTGTAGAGGCCCAAAATTATGCTCATTCTTGTACCCCTCCTCACTCATCTACTGAGCGTTTTCTAGTAACGATTTTTTTTCTAGAAACATATAAGCACTGGTAAATGACAATTTAAGCATTTTTACTCTGTCATTATAAAGTCCACATGGGCAGTAGTTTGCTTCTTAAGGAACTTCTTTCCAGCTGCCGTCACCTCTTTGTTTGGAGATTAGTTTTAGCTCGTTTATCAGCATTTAAAAAAACTCACTTATCGAAAAATTTTGCCCTCTCAAACAAAATTATTGGGTTTACTATTACCCCAATTTCACGCGTATAAGACACACCTTTTTCGGTTTCTAAGCATCAGCAGCCTTATTGTGTTTCGGAAAACGAGACTTATGCCGCATGATACGCTTAGGCAATATGCAGCACTGTAAATGGTTTTTTGGTCGCGAAGTCCTTCAGCTTGTCTGTGCTGTGCGATTTCAGAAAACCCCGCGTTCTATGTGAGTGAAATTAGGGTAGTACTTAAGTAGAACCAAGCAACCTATCGCCTTCCTGTGAGACTTTGCTAAATACAGAATCAAGATTTGATCAAAATACGCACATGCTTCTTACCCCCCCCCCCTACCTGCTTATCTCCCTACTTTTATAGTACGGCAAAATACTTACCGCTTAGACCAATCACTATCACTCTTTTGAGACGCAAATGCCTCGGATTCAATGGATCATGGAATAATGTATCTTTTCTGAAAAGAATGAATTTCGAAAAATCATACCTTAGCTGTTGGAAAATCAGACATACTTGGCGCTAAGAAAGACCAGGCAATTCACTTGTCCATCCTTGTCGTGCATGTCATTGATCATGTCAACCGCCCTAATGACACTTGCTATCGTTTGAAAATGTCTTTTTTCTTCTGAACTGCTTACATTCTAGTAGTTTTTGGATTACTTATTTCAATATATTTCATCTGCGACAGTCTTTTGTTTAGCTCTTCATAATCTTTGGTCATATCCTTGAGTGTCTCACTGACATTTTTTGGGAAATCTGTATTTCCATATGCCCATAAACCGATTTTTGCATCGGCCTCGTCGAAAATGTCGTACGCAACCGCAGAAAGGAGTTCCGCTTCCTTGCATAAGAATATAAATGGTGAATGAACCTACACTTTTGTCACTTACGGCAGTATAAGATTCGATGTCGTTCCGGTAATTGTACATGTCAGCGACGAAAATACAGTTTAGGCTCCTCGGCGGATCGACTAAAATTAGCAATTGAGGGGATGGGATTCTTGTGTGTAAAGAAACGTAGACAAAGGAAAGATGTATATTACCACATTTGTCAGTGTACTTTGCAACAGGGTATTCGTCTTGAAAGAAATACGACAAATTCTAGTCTCAAGAAAAACTGCTAAAACATGCGAAGTTCTGCTGGTTGAAATGATTTGCATACGAGCACATAAGCGGGTAATAAGTACTTACTTGCTAAGATAGCTGCTAGATTCAAGTGCATTTGTTTCAAAGCGGGGGGAACAAATTCGTAGCATAATTTGTCAGCTTTTACATTGAGTCGTTTCAATTTTTCTTCCATTATTTCGACCTATCATGAACATACGTGGAATGAAAATAGGCACCAAAAATACGCAATGCAGCTTATTTTTCCAGCAATTACGTTCCTCACCTTGCTTTTTTTGCAATTGCTAAAGAAATTGCCAAAATTCTAAACCCATGGTTTTTCCATGGGAAAGATAAAAATTTTCAAGAAATTTCATTTCCAACTTTTGAAAGAGCTTTGATAACAGGCGAATAGAGTGAAAAAATGCAATACAATACATCTTGTAATATTTTATATGTTCTCTGGTCATGAAACCTGGGCATTGTCTTGTATTCATAAACTTTCTTGTGTTAAGATATTTATTAGGTCTAACGTTTCGGCAATAATGCCTTCCTCAGAGACCTGAAAGAAAGTCTCACACTAGTTTTTGCCCTATATGATCAAATCTCTCCTCTTGTGTTAAGATATTTATTAGGTCTAACGTTTCGGCAATAATGCCTTCCTCAGAGACCTGAAAGAAAGTCTCACACTAGTTTTTGCCCTATATGATCAAATCTCTCCTCTTGTGTTAAGATATTTATTAGGTCTAACGTTTCGGCAATAATGCCTTCCTCAGAGACCTGAAAGAAAGTCTCACACTAGTTTTTGCCCTATATGATCAAATCTCTCCTCTTGTGTTAAGATATTTATTAGGTCTAACGTTTCGGCAATAATGCCTTCCTCAGAGACCTGAAAGAAAGTCTCACACTAGTTTTTGCCCTATAGGGCAAAAACTAGTGTGAGACTTTCTTTCAGGTCTCTGAGGAAGGCATTATTGCCGAAACGTTAGACCTAATAAATATCTTAACACAAGAGGAGAGATTTGATCATATAGGGCAAAAACTAGTGTGAGACTTTCTTTCAGGTCTCTGAGGAAGGCATTATTGCCGAAACGTTAGACCTAATAAATATCTTAACACAAGAGGAGAGATTTGATCATATAGGGCAAAAACTAGTGTGAGACTTTCTTTCAGGTCTCTGAGGAAGGCATTATTGCCGAAACGTTAGACCTAATAAATATCTTAACACAAGAGGAGAGATTTGATCATATAGGGCAAAAACTAGTGTGAGACTTTCTTTCAGGTCTCTGAGGAAGGCATTATTGCCGAAACGTTAGACCTAATAAATATCTTAACACAAGAGGAGAGATTTGATCATATAGGGCAAAAACTAGTGTGAGACTTTCTTTCAGGTCTCTGAGGAAGGCATTATTGCCGAAACGTTAGACCTAATAAATATCTCAACACAAGAGGAGAGATTTGATCATATAGGGCAAAAACTAGTGTGAGACTTTCTTTCAGGTCTCTGAGGAAGGCATTATTGCCGAAACGTTAGACCTAATAAATATCTTAACACAAGAGGAGAGATTTGATCATATAGGGCAAAAACTAGTGTGAGACTTTCTTTCAGGTCTCTGAGGAAGGCATTATTGCCGAAACGTTAGACCTAATAAATATCTTAACACAAGAGGAGAGATTTGATCATATAGGGCAAAAACTAGTGTGAGACTTTCTTTCAGGTCTCTGAGGAAGGCATTATTGCCGAAACGTTAGACCTAATAAATATCTTAACACAAGAGGAGAGATTTGATCATATAGGGCAAAAATTAGTGTGAGACTTTCTTTCAGGTCTCTGAGGAAGGCATTATTGCCGAAACGTTAGACCTAATAAATATCTTAACACAAGAGGAGAGATTTGATCATATAGGGCAAAAACTAGTGTGAGACTTTCTTTCAGGTCTCTGAGGAAGGCAATATTGCCGAAACGTTAGACCTAATAAATATCTTAACAAACCTGCGTGGCTCACAAGAAAGTTTATGAATACAATACAATACAATTTTTGGCACCTATGGCTGTCTCTGTATTTTTGATGCTACCAAAGTTCACACTTGATAATCCCACCTGACAGAACATCATCACGGCGCGCAGCGTCATTGTATGCCCAGTTTGCGAAGTTTTCAAGGACAAATACCATGACTCTTGATTGTGAACGCGACTCAGTCCTAATTCCGAAAAATGTGAAATTTGAGCTTGCGGTAAACGATCAACTGCTCTTTAAAATTAGTGTTGAATTATATCCCAATTCATAAGTTCCAAGTTTTCAAGATTTATTACAGCTTTCGTAAATTTCATGAATTCCAAAGTGTAGACTTTTGGGAAGAAAACTTACTAAAAAGCCAGCTGCAAATGCCTACTATTTATTTATTGTATTGCACTTTACCCACTCTATCCAAGTGTCAAAGCTTTTCCGAAAGTTTTGAGATGAAAATCCTTAAAAATTGGCAAAGCTGAAAATCCTTAAAAATTGGCAAAGCATAGTTAAACAATAAAAGATAAATTAAGTCATCCCGAAAGTAATTTCGCTTTTTTCAAACGGACGCCACATGTGATGGAACAAACATTTCAAAGTGATCTTGGCAGCATTCGATGCAGCATTTCATCCTTTTCTTAATAGTAGTGTCTTTGCAGCTCAGCCATTGAGCTTTGGCAAAATATTCAAAACCTGCGACCCATGCTTTTTGAGATGGTCAAGTTTCACAATTTTTCAAAACTTTCATATCAATTCTCAGGAGGAGTTCAAATAACGATTAGATAGAGCAAACTTTATAGGATATAGCACAACTTTTTTTCTCTTTTTCATAATCGCCGTAACTTTTTGAGAGATTTTTTACCAAAATCATCGGATTTTGGCAAGCCTATGTCAGTCACAATCGCATCAAACATCAGACCTACTCGGAATTTCAAGATTCCAAGATGATATGTATATGACTTAATGTTGATTTTATAAAACAAATGAGAGCTTACGGATTTGAAATACTGTACTTTGAGTTTTTCGGGTACAGCCTTGGGCGAGTTCAAAAGCATGAGTTATGACGATTTCATCCCCGAAGACTGAACAAATTGGGAACAAAAAACACCTATTAGAAAGAGGAGAGCTGCATCAAACAGCACCCGAGCTGCTGTTTGATGCAGCTCTCACTGATGTTCTATGAGATTTGAGTTGACCAAATATGAAAATTGGTGCCCTCAGTTGAAATTTTATAGAAAAATTTTGAGAAGGTATGTGGAGGATAAAAAAATTGATTTATATCTGTAGGGTTTGCTCTATCCAATCATTACTTGAACTCCTTCTGAGGTTTGATATGAAGGTTTTGAAAGAAATTGTGAAACTTGACCATTTCAAAAAGCATGGGTCGCAGGTTTTGAATATTTTGCGAAAGCTCAATGGCTGAGCTGCGACGATTTCACCACTGTTAAAAAGAGGATGAAATGCTGCATCGAATGACACCAAGGTCTCTTAGAAAACACTTTTCCTTCAGAAGTGGCGCCCCTTTGAAAAAAGCGAAATTACTTTCGGAATGACCTAATAGATAATAACTAAATCTAAAGTTGAAATGTCTACGGGTATTTTAGTGCAAATGTTGACAGTCTAGGGAAGCCTGAGTCGAGTAGTTTTTGTACTGCTTGCCTATTTTTCATACAACCTTTTTCATAATAGGTCGAAGACACAGAAGAACTTTCTGAAAACCCAATATTTTTAGCAAAAACAGCAGTACGCGCTTTTTGCTTTCCATATGTGAGATCATTCTGGTGCACGAATCGATACAAAAGCATGAAGCAGTTACTAAACCTCGAGACTTTTTGAACATTTAGCAGTTGCAAAAAAACACCTATGTCTTTAACTTCTCGCTTAGTTTTCCATTATGCTGAACATTCGAGCACTTCTCATATGTGCGAAAACATTATTACAACTAACATATTTTCGTAGAAATGTTAAAGGCAGCATCCAGGCAGATCTGGATCTATGGGGATTTTTCGTGGAAAGTACTTCTGGGGCGCTAACTAAGGCACTGCTCAAACGGCAGCGCAGGTAGTGCTCTAATGGCCGAGATATTCCCCTCGAAACTGGACCCCGCGATCGTATTCGCATGGATTCATGGCAGTTTCGCGTCAGGACACACGCGTTACACCATGAATTCATGCGAAATACGATCGCGGGGTCCAGTTTCGAGGGGAATATCTCAGCAGTTAGAGCACTACCTGAGCTGCCGGTTGGGCAGTGGCTTAGTTAAGGCCCCAAAATTACTATCCACGTGAGATCCCCATGTGTCCAGACTTGCCTGGACGTTGCCTTTAAAAAGACGTTAACTTATGATCGCAAAAAGTTTAATTTCAACGATTTCCGCTATACAATATCGCTCTCCTTGCTTTTGCTTTGAGTCCAAAAACAACATTGAGATCAGATAAGCGACAAACTCTAAGATTAGAATAATTGATACCTGTGCTCGTAGAAGACGTCGGTTTAGTGCTTGGCCCTCGTGTTTTTGTGCGCGATGTAATTGATGTTTGTGTGTTTGTGCTTACCGCTGAAGTACTAATAGTTGTGTTCCTCGCAGTAGTGGTTCTATGTGGGCTGCGTGTTGAGCGTGTCGATATAATAGAATGTCCTGCAGCAAACTAACTGCTGACTCTAAGGAGATACAGCGTTTGTATCATTACCAAAATCGGAGATTCTTCCAGAAATATCTTGTTCTTCTCCTGCCACATTCTCCTCCTTCAAATCATATAAGTCCGCAACAGTACGGGATGTTTGCGTATTTGAGATAATAAGAGTTTTATCAAGAGCGCTAGAACTTCGCAGCTCAGCTACAAAGGCACGCATGTCCTCGTCGTCTTTTCTAGAACGCAAAACCTCATTTAACACACGTTTAGATAATCCGAAAATTTCAACACTGCAACAATTTTGATATCCATAGCAACCCCAACTCTACATGCAGATGAACATAAAGGCACCTAATTAAGCTCACAGTAAACCTCCGTCACCCCAGATGAGTTGAGACGACCTAGTTGTGTATACCCATAAAGCCTCAGCCATAAATAACCCAAGCTATCAACCTTCGACACCGGCTGGTTTTGAGATGTTAAGCGCAATTACGCTTGACACACCACCAAAGAGAGAGAGCAGTTGTGTCCGAAAGCACGAAAAACCTCTACAGACACACAGTTAGTACCAGCATTCGCACCCAGAAGATTTTGACCCCGCGCTGAGGGGTCGCGCCCCACCTACTGCTCTGTATATTCATCGCTTTCATAGTGAGCTAAGCTATTGCATTACCCGTCTAAAAATTTCAAAGCAAGTTTGAAAAAAAAAGTTTGACGCGGTTAAGGTAAAGACACAATAAGGCTTTCAAATCGCCAATTTCATCACTGAATGCCAATGTTTAAACCCAACATCTTCACTTATGAAAGACTGCCGTGATTATCAAAAAGATTTTATCAGCGATCACAAAGGTCCGGTAGAGGTCGTTAACGAGCTTCTTTGGTCAACGTGATCTTTTGATATAACGCTATAGCATATTGAGGGGTACCGAATAAACATCTATCTTGGTTGATTGTTGTGCTCCTTTGGACGCCGTCATAGCATTTTTCGAGTCCAGGAAGTAAACTACTGAGGTAAAATCTACTAAGACGAAATTTTTGATAATCACTAAAATGGGATGAAGTTGGATATCAGAGCAATCTATGCAAATGATATTTCCCTTCAAAATACTCGTAATCCTAATTGCTGTACCTGAGCACTAGAGGTACAGCAGCTGTAGATTTATCCTGCTCTTGATTTTCTATTTAAAATTCTTAATTAAAAGTCAAATGGAAGCGCACAGCAGATGCAAAGACGGTTGTGATGTCAGCTGCTAGTGTTTCCAAACGGTAACATTATTCATTTAACAAGGCCACTTAGACTCAAAACACTTCCACGAAAAAAGCAAGTAGAGTTTTTTTCTTTGGTTCGTAGATTAAAAAGTATGAGTTGAGGAAATCGTTATTACTAAATTGTAGATACTGAATATTAAGTCGTTCCGAAGGCAATCCTTTAGAATACGTTTTTGTACTGGTTACCCATGTGATTGCTGAAATAATCATCGAAATTTTGAACCTTATTTTATTACCATGCCCAAATTTAGCAATTTTTCAAAAATTCATCTCACAATCTTGAAAGAGCTCTAAATTAGATGGACAGTGTAAACAAAGTGCAATGTAATGGACTTTCTTTTTGGAACATCTGGCTGGCTTTTTGTAATTGCTAATCAGAATATAAATAGTAGTACAAAAAAGTGTACAGTGTGGTACTATATTATTGTCTATATAATCAAAAAATCAAAAAAATTCTGAGGTAATTTTTTATATGCGATCAATTTGTGGCTCGAAAAATGTCCGAAGTTAGACAATTCAGGTATCCTGCAATGCACTTTTTCCTTCTTTCTGGTATGTGCACTTCACCCTTCCAAACAAATTCGTAGCCGATTGATTTAGTTTAAACTTTGCTTTAGACCGGACCCAGAGCGACCCGAGATTCCGAATGCGATAGCACGAAGTGACAAAGTGAAAAAGGCAAGCATGCCTTATCTTTGACAGAATTTTCGTGCAGTCTGCTTCGACGCAGATCAAAACGAATGAGAAGGAGGGGGGGGGGGGTGGTGCGCCCGCATCGCAACAGTTCACGCCTTTCGGAACTGCATTACGTCATGTAGAGCCTATATCTGTGTCCATTCATTTTCATCTATTTCAAATTGGCGTAATGCCGACGCTTGCTCTTTCAAAGCACAGCGTTAACAGTTTGAAATAGAAGCGTTGGCCAACGCTGTGCTCATTCAGTGAGACGAGGACGCTGCTCCATGTGAATTACTAAGGCCTAGGTACGGTTGAACCAGACTTGAATGGGGGTTTTTTTTTCGCACATGACTGAAGCTAATTAACCTCTATAAGGTTGCTTCCTCATGTGGAAACCCAACGAAAGAGGCGATGCCATATATAGCACATAAAACAGTTTTGAAGCACGACCTTTTTAGAAGAAGGGTTGTAGTCGTGAGCGCTTGCTGTATGACTGACGTAGCTTATCATTGCTGGTTCCCAACTTTCACAAGCTTGTAACTTTCAGTCTGAAGAAGCAAAGATTGAGAAGACAGGGTTTCGATTATGTTGTAACATTCAACCAAAAAAGAAATGCCAAAGCACACGACGGGAAGCATTCTTCAGGCTGTAGAAAATAATGGACCGGAGATAGTTCATTGAACGTAAGGCTTACAGAGATGGATATTCTCGTAGTTTCACTAGCTTCCAATATAAAGTCGTTCGATTTGAATTCCAGAACTTCTTTATGAGTGAGGGGATCATGTGTATATCAAAGTTTGGCAAAATAAAGTGTCATATTTATATACATTTGTACAGATTATCCTATGATTTATATTGCTTGCCCGAGCTCATTTTCATTTGCTTTTGTTTCGATCGCAGAGTAAGTACTCAAATCAAGCCTCGTGTTTGTCTCTTATCAGTGCGTTTACTAGAGTTCATGTGAGGAATAGTTTCGAAAATTAGTCTTAGACACCTTATGTTGTCGTTGTTCTTCTTCTTATGTATTGTCTGATCGTGTTGTTCTATCTTGTTTTTGCAAGAATAGCTTTTGCATATGTATTGCAAGAGCCCAGGACTGGTCGATGTGGCGCATGGCTGTGCTCGCTCTTCGCCACCGTCTCGTCGAAAGTTCGCGCGTGAGCGAGCCAGTAATGAGGATATGTTCACAAGACTCGCGCTAGATTTGTAACTTGTTTTTGTCACGATCATAGCTCGTTCAAGTTTTGGCTGCGGTGTGGAACCCATTAGACAAGGTGTGCTGTTTGCATGTCAAAGCAGATCTACATATAATTAGAATTGGACGATCTACTTTTGGGGCAACCATATTTTTCAAATTTGCAGAATATAAGAAAAGGACATGTATGCGTTTTAGACCATATCGGTACAAAATTGAAGTTTGGCTGTCTTCTATTGACAATAACCATCTGCTAAAATCTAACCATGTTATTTATCGTACCTGTAGCCAAAGTCGCATGGAATATAGAAAACGAATAAGTCATCACTACTTCGTCGGCTTGTGTAAGCTTTTGCGATCCTGAAAGCACCTGCGATACAAATGGCGTACCTTCATGATATCAGTCCATCAAGATTCGCTTTTCAGTTAATATGAAAAAAACATTTTCTATAGAAAAACGATGAATCCATTATATGACATAAGGATAATCGTAATCTTAAAGGCAGTGCCTTGGCAGACTCACCCTGGGGATATTGCTATGATGGGGTCTCTGGTCATTCCCACTGATCTCCAGGCCCAGTCTGGCTGGTTGATTTTCCCCTGGACCGAGAAAATAGCTCGGCGCGGATCCCTACGGCCGCTCTTTCGCATTGTGCATGCTATCCAAAGCGAAAATTGCAGGCAGCAGGGTCGTGCCAGGAAAAAGAAAATTTGACCTTTTAGCAGAGCATAAATAGTGATTGGCAGAGGGAGCAACCAGCCCGTATAGAAAATGCTTCAAAGAGTTTCAAGGTGTTCTCGAAAAAAAGGCAGACTCGATTAGTTAGGAAGTAGTGAACTCTGATGAGAGGGACGAAATGGATCTTCTTTTGCTGCAAATAACGATACGTTTATTCAAACTATTACGGGTCCTTTTGCTGTTAGTTCTTGTGTCTGGATATGCTATCTTGTACTCAAACCGTGTTTCTCATCAAGCGAGTCAAAACCGAATCAGTATCAACCCTGGTACAACTTGTATATTATATAAGAGTACTAAGCCAGGTTGAATTTGTAAACGATTTTTCCCGGGGTCCTGAGGAAGTGGATCTTACTTTAGATGTTCTAATTAGGGCCGAACTGAATCTCGATAAATGGCGGTGGTGTATGCCGCTTACGCCCGCCTGCCTAATGTGAAAGAGCGGTGTCTTCGTGACAGAAGCGAAATAAGTGCAACGTTATTTGGGTATGAACTTCATAAGACATTCCGATATACGTGTCTCTCGTTTTCTCGTACTTGTCCAAACGCTGCTTTTGAGCACTGTCAGATCTGAATATCTCTAGACCCACTCAGCTTCTCCGACGTGTCATGTATTCAATTACTACATCCTTCCTACTTTTTTGAGTCTTCTCTCCACCCTGCACACCCAAAAAATTCCGTTTCTGAAGTGCCTTATTCGAACTACCCGGAATGTTGCATCCAAGGTTCAAACTCTATTCGCACTTTGCCTAATCCAGACTATCTGGAATGTTGCCGCATTCAATGATTCAGACATGTCCCATTTTCATATTCCCTAGCCAGTTCCGAAAGTGGATGCCCTCGGACACGCTTACAAGTACATTACGATGTTGGAGCACAAAAGAGACATCCGCTTGGAAAGTTGGAAGCCTAGCTCCCTGCGGATTTCGAACTTCAAGCTAGAGTGCCCATGACGCTACATTTGAGATATGGGCCCGTAGTAAAGCTCGATCAGTTGAGGTGAACTCAACTTATCCCATCAGTTCACCTTAGGTGAGGTGAACTGATCACCGTCCACGTTCCCATGCTATAAGATGGTCAAGTCAACTGATAGTTGACCATCTGTCCACCTCCCGCAGTCAACTCTTCCACATCAGTTCACGTTCAAGTCACCTCAACGTGAACGGATGTTAGAGTAATCCAAATAGTGTGTAGAAGAGGAGACGCAGACAAGAGATGACTGCATCTAACATAAGTTGCTCCTGAGTAACTTACGATACACACAGCTTTTCCAAAAAATGCAGGAAAAATCGGCGCAAAACTGCACAATACCGGCGCCCGAAAAGAGAAGGATCGATGAACAGCTGATTTTGGCGACAAAAGCAAGGATAAAAGTTTTCTTCTTTTTTTTGCAGAGCAATCTTAGTTTCTTGTAAAAACTACTTTAGAAGAGAGTCTACTTATTTATTACGTTTTATTTATGTTCCAAAAATTTCAGTTTTTCATGAATTCTCCGTCAAAATATGTCAGTTTTGTTTTATCTGTCCATTTGCTAAGTGATATCCTTGTTAGCGGTCACCATCGATTTTTTTCGACAGTGGCCGCCATCAAAGATTGTCCGGCGATGCAGCAAAAGTTGTGGCGCTAGCCGGTGTCGAACCACGACCGCGCGCGTGTGATTCCAATCGCTTATCCGTTTGACCAGACCAACTCAAGTGGTTGGTTTTTTGAGAACACATATGTTTATCATGTGTAGGAAGCGATCCACATCCAAATCAATAGCTCACTGGATGCTGGACTGAAGCGCGATGACCTCAACTCCGGTCCGCGTCGCGAGAGATGCCCGGATGGGGGGTTTACTACGGGCCATGGTGTCCTATAGCGACTCTGCATCTCAGCGTTGGCGGAAACTGATCCACTTGTCCTAATTCAAGTCGAATGGTTTACAAACGCTTGTTCGCTGTTTTCGCGATTTATACGATGAATCTGTGAACTTGACGCGCGATAGCCTCAGGTAAGCGAAAATGTTAGAACTTGGGTTTCTGCTTGAGCACTGCCTTCAATCCGATCCTTTGTCAAAACATGAATAGCGCCGTCAGTTGCAAGGAACTTATTTTTGGCATATAGGACGAGGTTCATGTCGTTTGCTGCTTGAGTAAATTTTGAAAGTGATTAATGGTCGCCTTTTAGTAATTAACGAAGCGCATTTGATAAATCTTAAGCTTTTGAACTTCTCAGATTTGAAGAAGCATTTTTGCAGAAATAAACCAGATTGCTTGTAGATTGATTATTGGTGCTAGACATGGTCACAGTACAAGCAGGTATTTGAAGCTTTTTTCGGAAATCTTCTTGCATCACTCGTCCATAGCTTTTAGTTCAAGAAATAAACGCCTACTATCTCCTATCTGTGTCATTTCCTATCTCGAAAGAGCAGAAGCAACAGTTTGCACTTTTAACAATGTTCTATTATATATCTTGTTTGAGTTACTGAAGTAATATACTCACGATTCTTGACTGTAAGTCGATTCAGTTACAGATTCTATCGTAAGAAGGTGTGCAAGGGCATCTATACGGGACATCGGTGCTGTAGTATTCATTGTTTTAGAAAAGAGGATGAGTGCGTAACGTTGCTCCACATCTTTCAGTGCTAGAACTGCTTCCAATGTATGTCGCTTATTCTAGAAATTTGGCTCTCTAAAATTTTTTTGCTTTTTGTGAATCACGTACGCACCACATCAAGACTGCAATCGTCTAGGCTAGATTTTTGCAGCTGCGTTGGCTTCCAAAGCGTTCGCACATGTGCATTACCTACGTGCATCGCGATGTACATAATAGGTGGGTCATCTGTAAACATGAAGATAAACAATCTATACACCGTGGCTTAGCCCTACAAAATACGTAATAACTTAATGCTCTACTTCATACCTTTTTTACCCTTTCTCGGTATAAGGACTACAAGAAGAACGACGACGATGACGAGAATGACTATAGTTCCTCCTCCAACTCCCCATCTACATGCCTTGCTCATTCTATAAATATTAGGTTGTTACATAAATCTTGTTACACTTAACTTCTAACGGCGATAAGTCATACATCTCATAGTCTTTGCAGGACACCAAGGTACCATTCGATAGAGCAAAGCAAGTTCTACAAGATGGTCTGCAAAAGTTTGTGTCAGCTCCGACCCACCGTAAGTTCGCACCCAAAATCTGAGTCGTACTGAAATTCAAAAAATCGCGAAAAATTCATATCTTTGTTCAAACAAATCCTACGGATCTCCAACTTGCTCACAAAAATTGCCCACTATATCAAACACTCATATGTACCGTTGCTGTATTTTTTCCTTATCTAGAAATCGAGAAAAGGAATTTTTTTTAGTTTTTACAAAAACGAAGCTATGCTGTTTCTTTTCATGTAGCTGTATACTACAAGCCCTTAGAAGTATAACCGTAAATTTTCAGCTTTTCAGAAGCTCTGGTTTTTGAAAAATACCAAATTTAGCTTTTATCACTCGGGTGTTCAATGCTAAATTAGGTAATTTTCGAAAACTAGGGCTTCTGAAAAGCTGAAAATTTACGGTTATACTTCTAAGGGCTTGTAGTATACAGCTACATGAAAAGAAACAGCATAGCTTCATTTTTGTAAAAACTAAAAAAAATTCCTTTTCTCGATTTCTAGATAAGGAAAAAATACAGCAACGGTACATATGAGTGTTTGATATAGTGGGCAATTTTTGTGAGCAAGTTGGAGATCGGTAGGATTTGTTTGAACAAAGATATGAATTTTTCGCGATTTTTTGAATTTCAGTACGACTCAGATTTTGGGTGCAAACTTACGGTGGGTCGGAGCTGGTGCGAACTTTTGCAGACCATCTTGTAGAGCTTGCTTTGCTCTATCGAATGGTACCTTGGAGTCCTGCAAAGACTATGAAATGTATGACTTATCGCCGTTAGAAGTTAAGTGTAACAAGACTTATGTAACAACCTAATACATTTTTTTTGAATCCTTTTATGAAAATAGGAAGGCAAATGCGACAGTTCTGGCTCATTATTATATCTTATTTTTTTACTAACTAATACTATATCTTAAACGTGCCGCATTCTTACCTTATGTGTGATCAGGAGTAATGGACTTTTGCGGCTCCCGCGCGGAAGCCTTCTCTGCACCTCTTTCGTGAGCGTGCTCTTTCACCCTTAATTAGCATATTGATGACTATGTGGACCAGGGGTGTCCCCGCACTTTTTGCTGCCAGGACGATGTAAACCACCGATAAGCACCTCTTGCGGAGCCAGGTTTTTTCCAGGTCTAGTATTTTTTCGTTTTTGCACTTGGGGGGGGGGGGGCAATCTATGGCACTTTTGAGACCTGTAGACTGTCTCGTTCAAGAAAAGGTTTACAGTTGTGTTCACAATACAACATGTCGTAAATTATCACAAAGTGCCCACACCGAAATGCTGTCCAATATCGCGCCGTTCCATCGCCGCTACGCAAATCAGGTGACGCCGTCAATGGGGTCGAGCAAACAGACTCTCATCGAAAATCGCCTGCGACTTCACAAAATACAATCAGCAAAATTGCGAAGTTTGACTCCATAGAGGCGCGAACTCTTCACCACCACCTGCGACATAGTCTCCGCAGCTATACTTGCCCATCACACCTGTACATTCCTTACCGCCCCGAACTTATAACGTGCAGTGGTCATCGTGAGGAACCGTCGCTCAGAACTTTTCTCAGGAGACCATTGAGCAGCTAAGTGTGAGAGCACGCTCAAGAAAGGTGCACAGCCCAAGCAAAGCTGTCGCCGGGGACCTGCGCACAACTCTCCATCTCTTCTTAGAAGCTGGTATGTGAAAAACACTATTCGTAAGTATACAGGGTGTTCCAAAAAGATGTGCACCCTGTTTGATGTTAACTCTCTTGCTTTCATGTTCTTTGCCGAGCTTGAAGTACCCTTTTGTATAGCGAGGATTAATCGAAGTTGCTGATTCTAAGTGTGAAAATTGCACGTCAATACACCGTTTCTTCCATAAGTTATTTCAGATTTAGGGTAGCAGCTGTTTTTAATGTCTGTCAGAAATGTGAATACGCCATCAAGAAAGCTCGAAAAACTGGTGGAAAGTTATGTAGTGAAGTCAGCACGACTAAGAACCTTGCCACACAAATTTTTAGATTTTTTTAAAAGTTATTTTATCAAAAGGCATATTCTACATGGCGCCGCATACTGAAAGTTCATACCGTGATCCTACATAACGAAGAGTGATTGATCTAAGTTTATCCTCTCTCTACAGAATGGTACCTCAAGCTCGACAAAAGACATGAAAGCAAGAGAGTAACGATCAAATAGTGTGCACATTTTTTTGGGACACTCTTTATATGATTCCCTTTAACTGTACTGCTGTCATAATCGAAGGATTGTTTGAGCAGACTGAATCGCCACCAGAAATGAACCATCCTATCTCATAACTTCTGAGAAGAGTTAAGAGCTTTTAGTTAAATTACGAGCTTTGTTTTGTGGAAGTCGTACCGAATTTTATTCACAGGCCACAACTACGAGATTGGCGTGCATTTCTTGCGTTATTCAAAAGAAATTGAGTTTTCAATTCTCAAATCCAATTTTGTACTTTCATAGGTCAAAAGTAATAGTGGCTTGATCGCAACTTTTCGTTAGCCTGTGGTGGAAAACTTCCTTTCTATTAGGTTGATGCATAATTCCTGCACCAAAATAGGTACAGACCGCAATAACTCGGAGTAATCCTATATACCAAGTAGGATTCGATATACCATTTGATAGCGCAAACCCAGCTCTACAAGACAGTGCTCAAATATCTACACCAGCTTTGACCCACGCGAAGTTTTGAGCCAAAAACTGAAAAAAACCATGCGTCCGAAAACCTTAAGACAGATCTCAAAAAAATTGTAACTTCGTTCAAAAAGCTCATACAAATTTTCTTTCTTGCTCACGCGTAGACGTTCCACGTAAGACATTTATCTATGCGGTTGCTGTATTTTTTTCTCAACTAGGCGATGAAAAAACGAAGTTTTTTGAAGTTTTTCATGTTTTTGCCAAATTAGTGCTGACATGTTCTAGTATCAACAGTTGTATAGTACATGCCGTTAGCAGTGAAACTTTACATTTTCAGCCTTCTAGAACAGCTAGTTCGCGAGAAATAACGAATCTAGCTCTCCTTATCCAAATTTTTCTTGCCTAGTTGCTAAAAATCCGATATTTCTCGTAAACCAGCTGCTCTAAAGAGCTGAAAATTCACATTCACGCTTCTAAGGTCCTATAGTATACAACTGTCAGTGCCAGAACATCTCAGCATTGTTTTGGAAAAAACATGAAAAACTTCGTTTTCTCATCGGTTAGTTGAGAAAAAAATACAGCAACCGTATAGATAAATGTCTTACATGGAACGTCTACGCGCGTGAGCAAGAAAGAAAATTTGTATGAGCTTTTTGAACGAAGTTACAATTTTTTTGAGATCTGTCTTAAGGTTTTCGGACGCATGGTTTTTTTTTCAGTTTTTGGCTCAAAACTTCGCGTGGATCAAAGCTGGTGTCGATATTTGAGCACCATCTTGTAGAGCTAGGTTTGCGCTATCAAATGATATATCGAGTCCTACTTGGGATATAGGATTACTTCGAGTTATTGCGGTCTGTACCTATTTTGGTGCAGGAATTATGCATCAACCTAATAAAATTTCGAAACTCTGTGTCTGGGGCATCGTTTTGTTTTCAAGCTTTCATACACACCTGTTTTGCAATATAAAAACTCCTTTCTAACTTGCCCTAAAAGGCAAACGACCGTAATCGGCATTTCGCTCTTTATGAAAATCGTGTTCGAATTGAGCGTAACGATAATTAAGCAAAGACTTGTTTTCGGAATTATTGGAGGCACAAAACAGAAGTTCCCATAATGGAAGCTTTCATAATCATCATGAAATCTTCTAGATCATTAATGATGTCCAACTAAAGCATGAACCATAACAAATTACTAATTATCTGTCAACTACGTTTCGCGAGTTTCTCAAGATTTTTCTTCGGTTAAATATAACTCGCTCATATTTTGGCTACATATGAGGGTTGTGATATAGCTTAGCTGAGCTCAGCAAATAAGAAATGGTAGTTGAAAACTTGAGATGTGGCGTGAAAAGTTAAACGAGTTACTATCGTCAAAGCTGTTGCGGATAACTGCCAATGACTGAGTAGAGCAGACTTTCAGAATTGCCGCGCTCCAAAGTGAAATACTCATAAGTAGACCGTATTTTTAGGATATGTCAGTGCAGAATTTGCATCATTTTCGTGACCAACATGTCGGACACCGGGGCAGATCCCAAAAGAATCGACAATTTAGCGCATAAGTTTTGCACTTCTTCCTTTGTCTATCTGAATGTGAGCCCTCATTTCCTCGCATTTTATAGACTGTGGTAATCTACAAGAATGCGCAAACCGTTTGGTTTTCAGTAGATAGTACAAAAAATCTAAGCATTCTCAAAACTGTCAAGTACAGGTTTTACGCGGTTTTAAGTAATATTGAAGTCGTGTGCAACCTGAATCAAACATATCAAGACCGAATTGCAGGGGAATTGCTTCCAGAAGCTGACTTATAACTCGAGTAAAAAATGGAATCTAATAAAGGAGGCATGTCAAATCGAATTAGCCTTTTTAAATGGTATACCATATCAAGGGCATAAAATGCTGATTCCAAATCTACCTTCCTTATCTGTAGAACATCTATGCACGAGAAGTTATGAGCGCTTATCAAAGCAAAAATTGATTGTGCAGTGAAACAAAAAAGGCCGTAATACTTTTTTCTAGCTTTTCAATGGAGCACTGATAATCATCAAGACATTTTATTTAAAATATTGAGTTGGTTCATAATTAATGCACGTTTTTCCTACCTCTTCTTTCAAACGCTAGTTTTCAATCAGAAAATCGTCTTTCTCCAAAACCATCTAAACTATCCGAAAGCTCTTTTCTTCTACTTTCAAACATATACTTTCTCTGAGGTCTCTGTTCAGATTGAAGTTCCGTGCCTTTAAAGGGGAGGAACTCAAACTTGAAAATTTTTCCTTTCATTCGACTTGCCCTAGTTCCATGAAAAATGCTCAAATTGGTTTCATAAAATATGTGTTGTAATCGCGAAGATTAGTGCTACAAAATCCTCACCAGTGCTAAATTTTTTGAAAATCCTGAGCCGAGAAGCTTTGACTCAAACTTAGATGAATGCTGGGATTACTCGGAGCTTTATAAAATGCTCACATGAGAAGCAATTACAGAACTTTCGCTTGCTTTTGGTAGAGTAGACCAAGGACTACTAATAATAGGAAAGCGGCAGAATTTTCTCGTTTTTGAAGTGAGAAAAAATTGAAGGAATAAAAAATACAGATTTTGCCATCTTTAGAATGCAGGAGAAAATGGTACTTTTGCTTTCTTGGCAATATTTTTTCCGCAGAAAATTTTTGGTAAAAGCCAAGTTCCACGCTACTATTGAATCGACCATCGGCTACACAATGAACAGAGTTTGCTCAATTCTAGTCCTTTTATGAGTAAGTTATACTCCTTCAAACTAGAGCTTTCCAGAAAAAATTCTCGGTAAATTTTGAGCCGTAAAATCTTTTCCGTGATGAGTGCAAACGCACAAAAGTTCCATTGTATAGTTAAAGCTTTGCTGTCTACAATAGTTTTTGTTGCGCTCTGAAAGATTGTTTTAGAGAAGAATTATCTTCATTAGAAGTGGAAGATGAGAAAACGTGCAGAACCCACCTAATACTTTGGAATAAAAAAATACAATATCACACTTGGTTGCATTATTTGAGGGCTAGTAGGATCTAAGCAAATTTTATCCAAAATGCACATTCAATTTTTTGCGCCGAAAAATGCTCAAAACATCGTCTCCATAAAATGCTGCAGATAAGAAGGGCAAGTTTGGGCTTAGCGTTTCATGCCCTTCAATATAGTATAAATCCCATTTATATAAGTCACTTCCATTAAACAAGCTTCCCTTGTAAAACAAAGCAAGAATTTCGCGCTTTCGAGTTCTCTAGCCAAAGTTTTGGCAAACTCTGAGGTTTTGCAGTCCAGTACGGTAATTCGACATGCTGATGACGAAAGCCATCCATTCATCGCGCGCGAAAGGTTTTCTTGTTACCCTACTGAACTGCAGAACCTCAGAGTTTGCCAAATCTTCGTACAGTGGAATAATTCAACATGCTATAAACGAACGTCGTAATCGTTTGTTGCTAAAGTGAGAATGTACTCATCATCTTTAACAAAAAAGCCCTTTCGCGCGCGGTGAATGGATGATTTTCGTCATCAGCATATCGAATTACCCTACTGGACCAATTTCAATAAAATCTGAAGCAATTCATAATTTCCTCTGTACGTAGACCTACTAAGACCTTAAACAAGATGGCGGAATTTGTAACTCACTCATGATCTTCATAAAACCAAAAAAAGAATGCGCTAGGTCCAAAAAGTCAAAAGCTATACAAAGTTGCATAAAAATGTGCTAAATTACTACAACAATATTTATCTTCACTCTCCTTACTGGTGCTTGCTGTAAACTTCATGGCAGTGGCGAAATCAGCCAGTACAATGGCTGCAAATGGCACTACATAATGCCAAAAAATGCATCACATTGAAAAAGGAAAATATTGGAGCCGAAAAACTTAGTCGCTGATTAGTCTTGAAAACTGGCAGCTTTACGAAGCAAGTACAATTGAAGACAGCATGACTTTTGTTAATTGAAAAGCATTTAACCAGTACTATAGGGCTCTGCATGATCGCGGGAGTCGGTGAGTTTGCGGTCATTGCACGCGCATTGAGCTTTTCCGGTTATCTTGCCCCTTTCAAACTCGTTTTCACTATCAGAAGTCAGCTTTTGACTTTGAAGCGATTTTGAGAAGTACGGGATTGTTTGAGTGGTTTGAGATTATGTGGAATTCTGCTTTGCAGTGGGTGCAAACTCACTGACTCTCGCGATCACGCAGGGCCCTGTATCAGTGATATATCAGTTATACGAGAGCAAAATTTCAAAAATGGCCGAACTATCAAGTCTCAACAGAAGTTCATAGAGATGGAGATGAATGGAGTGTTGAACATTTGTATGACACATGTCTCCATAGATAATCTTTATCAGGGAGCACAATGTGATAAAGGATGCAAAAAAGTCCTGTTATTCAGTGAACACGATCTGATTATGAACTCGTCTCCTTTTAGACTATATAACTTCCGCCGTAGTTCAATCGTAGAAATATCAGTACAAAGTAATATTTGGCTCAGCCAATTTTTGTATGTTCGCCCAAAAAGGATAGAAGGAGTCATGAAATTTGAACCAGATTTGGCAGACGTAATGTTGGGATGAGGCATGTGTTAGTGAGCCTTTTTATTCCGTACACTTGGGTTGCCCTTTTTGATTCTTTCAATTTTTGCTCAGCAAATTTTTCCGCCTTAATAGTGGAAGAAGTTTTGACTTCCATATGTTCTCTGTTTGGAAACCTGGGCATTGTAGTAGTACTATCCTCTGTGATGTTTTGCCACACAGGTTTGTTGTAAGTTTTATTTACTCAGCCTGACGTTTCGGCAGTAATGCCTTTCTCAGAGGCCTGAAAGATAGTCTCGCTTAGTATTCGCTGCATACGATGCCGTTGTCCACTTGCTTCATTCAATTCGCTTCAAGTAGACAGTACTGAGGTCTCCATGCTACGGCAACTCACCAATGTTAGTAACGCCGCTCACTAACGATCCACCCACCTGATGACAAATGGCTAAACTGTCACACTAATGGGCAGCTTGAGTAGTCATGGATATCTTATAACTGACAGTACGATATGAGCAGCATAAGATCGCTAGTGATAGACAGCTGTTCATTCTTGCCGTTCACCTTGGTTGACGTGAAAGAACGAACGACGCTTCCAGTGCTTTGCGAGCCGCATTTTTACTTTCATACGCCAAGATCGTGTATTTAACGCAAAAATCGTTACCGCCGTGATCTGCTCTATGTTTTCCGAATGGGCTCATTGTGCTCCCCTGTTTTTTACTGGCCAGATGTTCGTTAACGCGGATGCTGAGTAAACCCATCTATCCGATATAGGTTGCATGACAGTCCAGACATTCGAGTTCGTACACCACGCCAAACTTGGCACAATCCACTATTCTGCCATTAGGGCATACAACGCAGTTCTGTGTGAAACAAGCCGTATCATATAGACGATTACGTACTAGCTATCGCTTGATTTGTTCGCAGGAATGTTTACGAGTACAACATCTTGGTTCAGCTGTGCTTGTATGAGACAACGTTTGAACTCGTTTGTAACACTGTCAGAGATGAGTGGTAAACTCAAGGGAATCATGGCTCTAGTTTGGTCATGTTGCTCCATTAAATGTTCTTTCCGAAGGTCTGGATCTTGCTAAAAAGGTGTCATTATTTTCTGCAACCTTCCTTGCAAGCTTGAGAGATCCTTGTTTTTCTTCATCGCCACTGCAAACCTCTCGGCTGCTTCAAACATGTTGCTCACAAATGCTCTTTTGACCGCGATTGAATGGCCAGATTAGGCGTGTAAAATGATATTTTTGGAATGCTTCTCACGGTACCATTTCACACGGACAGCTGTGTGTTAAGGTACGGTAACCATCCGTTCCGGGGTTTCTCTTTGGAGTGGCCGGCAAGCGCTTCACGAGCCTCATTCGAACAAGCATGACTTCCTCGACGCGACGGTATGCAAATGAGTTGAGTTTGAGAAATCCCGGAGATTTTACGGATGGGGTGAAAAAGCGCAGCCTTAGAGGCCAATGGAGTGAAGGCTCTTATTAACACCAGAACAATCTTAGAGCTTCGTAGTAGATCTGTTACAAGAAAACTGACAGTTTTGAATTACGAGAAAGAAAGAATGGAACTGGTACTGGAAGGAGCTCTGTGCAACTTTAGCTGAAAAATCCTTAGCCTATTACTGATGCTGCGCTTTAACCCATGGATTGGTGGCTGGAATGCGAGGCTCTGTGACCTAATTGAGGCAGTTAGCGCCCGCGACGCAGTCTGCAAGTCTTTCGCGCGCGTAATCTCTGATCATTTTCTAGCCTTGACTAAGTCACGAAGCCCCGCCTTTCAGCCGCCACCAGTTGAATCAAAGGGTAAAAGCAACTTTTAAGAGGTGTTTATCTATAGGGGGTCAAGACATGCTGATTACAAAACGACCTTCCATACGTTACACTATTCTATAGGCAGACCTAATGATTAAGCGCCCAAATATCTGCCTTTTTCCTGCAGCAAGCTGCCAAACCTAATACAACCTGAGCCCACACAAATGCTAGTAACTTTATGTAGTGAACAGTTTCGCTCAGTTTTGACGAAGTGGCTCTATTTGTTTCAATATCGAGCGTGTCATCAAGCATGCTGAGCTGCTCGGATACGAAATTGGCAAAGCTTCAATAAATTATGCTTTTTTAGGAGTGCGATTATGAGGCATGTGCGCAAAGCACTGCGTGTTGTAGTCAGAGACTGAAGAAACTAATCCATTGATAAAAGTAAATCCAATCAAGTGGTACTATCCAGCTTATCGTGGTGAAACAAGCTAGCGGACCTTAGCTAAGAGCGATTGTTGCCACCTCGAACTTTGGCATTTCTCTCTTGCCTTCCTCTTCCCTCCATGCTTCCATCTATTATTTTTCAAGAAACCAAGGCGCTTTGTTGAACACAGTATTAGAAACACATGGTAACAGATCTGCATTACATCAGTTATTCAAGCAACTTTCTACCTAAATGCGCTACTGTTATTTTAATAAACTTTGAATGTTGTGAATATGATCATAGCGGCTGATAAACTTTTATGAATAATATGGCTCCACAACAATAAGCCGAGCCTTCGTTTTACGGGAATCAGATCAAAGCTTCAGCAGATTGTGTGTCATGCTGTAGACAAATCAAAAATGCTTTGCACGCAGTTCGTGAACAGTTTTATGGCTGCAAAATTTTGACTTAGTGCTCATTATGATGTCAGTTACATTTTTCATTTTGGAGTCAGGTTTTTCTTTGAAGTAGTAAAAAGCCAAACAATCAAAACTTTTTATACGTCGTCATTGAGCAGACCACTCGAATAATATCTCTGATGCTTCTTTTTCATAATTACAAAGTGCATTACGAAGGTTAAAAACTGATAATGTCAAATTTTATACGAAGTAGTTCTGGTGATCGTGCTCTTAGTCGATGGTCGGCGTTGTCATTAATCTGAAATTTTATATAAATTTGTTGGCACTTGCATTTCGTATTTTTCTGTACCTTTCCGGCAGAATTACGTCCAAAACTTTCCAAACGTCACCATCTGTGTAGGGTAAAGGTATGCTGACAGCTTCTCCCATCCTTCCTATCAGTCCGGTCAGATCCGCTCCTGTTGGAAAACTCAATCTATTAGATTTCGTTTGTGGCACTTTGCTTGCTCGCATTTCAATTGCCTCTTCCCTTACGCTTGTTCCAGCCATCGATTTTGTAAAATAAATAAAGAACATATATATATATATACTTGCGGGTTTTGCAATAACATTAATAGCCGAAGAGATGAGGCAATTTCAAACATCTCTAATGTAGAACAGTCAGAGTCTTGAATTGTCGTAGGAAAGTTGTGCTAGGTTTGACAAACATTGGAATTTGTATAGAGAGAGAATGGACGATTTGATACGTTGTTTATAAAATAAGTTTTGAGTGAGAAATAACTGTAGAAAGTTCCAAGACGGCTTAAAGATCAAAAATGTGCAGGAACATAGATATCAGAATTATCGAGAAGTAATGAACAAGGCTCGGCACGAACTGGCATCAGGGAAATTCTAAAACGAAGTCCCCCTTGATCTCAAAAGTCCTCTACGAAGTCCTCTTTGACGTGTTTTGCATTTGCTTAGAGCGCGCTTTGTGATTGGAGCAGATTTTTCGACTGCGGAGCAGACCGAGAACTTTTCAGATGGCTATAAAGCGCCGAAAAGAAAACATTATGAAAATGTTTTCTTTCTGTATGTAAACTTTTATAGTGCAGATACAATTTATGTAAAAAAAACTATGAAAAATTATGTGAGCAAAGGGTCGGTGCCAGCTCAGCTGGTACCCAGCTGACACGGTGCCGGCTAATTCAGAAAAAAGTTCAGCGCAGCTTTCATTAACATAAGTTTTCATAAACATTTGGACCATAGTTCGACTCCCCCAACCTCCATGCACACACCAAATTTGGTGTCATATTACTGCGATTTGGTTGTAAAAAAAGGCTTTTGTTTGTCCTAGAGGCATGCTGCTGGCGACTTGCCGGTGGCATACCCCTGGCATTCTAGCAGCGGCATCTAACCCGCAAAAACAATATCCCCTTTGCTTTCCGCCCCAAAAACGATATCCAGCTTGACCCGGTGCCAGCTGCGCCGACCCGTCTTAATGAAGTATCTAAAAAATTGCAGCGTTTCCAAACTAAAACAGTGTGCAAGTGGAAAAGAATTGAGTAAGGGTACGGGATAGGATATGCACATAAGCAGATACTATTTTTGAGAAAATGATCAATTGTTGGAGGCTTGTTTCTGACTAAAAAGAATCAAAACTGATTTTATGAAATTCAGTCATACTTTGAAAAAAATTTTCCTTCAGAGTTTCACTCTCAAAAAAGTAGAGAAAATTTTGGAAAAAATTTGGCATTTCTATCATAATAAAGTAATAAGCTCTTCCCTCTTCACAAACGAAAAAATTTGTGCGACAGCTGATAAATTTTACAATCAAAGCATGTCTTGCAGTAGTAAGCAAATCAAATAGTGCGAGTATACTACACGTAGAGAAATTCGAAAAAATTTTCGAATACACGAATGTCGAATAATATTCAAAAATTGAAAATTTCGAATATTCGGCTATCGAATATTACTCGAGCTCTTAGATTTTCGAATAACAGAGTTTGCGAAGCATTCGCATTTGAATCATTTATTCGAATAATCCAATAATGTTATAATTCGATTCGGTACAAAGTATAGCATACACGGCTAATACTCGAACTGCTCAAACTATAAAAGATTTTTCATAGCACACAGACATTTGATCTTGCGATAAACGTTTCTGACAAGTATCAGACTATACGAAAATGTACCCTATTTATCATTTTTGAAGCTGCAACCGCTATTTTTGGAAATCGTTAAGGACAGATGCGTTAAGCATAGCGCACATTCAGCCGGAGCACAACTGAATTGTTCATCGCGTTTTTTCTGGTTTCTCTTGAGCTCAAGTTTTGTGCTTTTTTGTGAGTGATGCGGTTTGTGAAGCTGCGTGCGATGTTCATTTGATCCATGCATGGAGTGCATGGACTCAAGCGTGGAAAAACCGCATCACCCACAACAAATATGCAGCCCAAGAGTAAAACCCTCAGAGATACCTCCTTGTGTGTTCCTCGCTACTTCCTTTCATTCGAATTATAATTTCAATTTCATATTTGTTGCGGATGGTGCGGTTTTCCCATGTTACGTTCATGCATCATCGGGATTGTGGATCATAGCAAGCTCTTCAGTTTCGCGTCCAACTAATCAATTTGCATCACTTACAAAAGCATAAAGATTACGTTCAATAAAAACTGAAAAAACGCAATGAACAGTTTGTAAGTTTCCACTTTGTAAACTTTAGCTGAGTATATTATATATAAAGCTGAAGGTCTGTTTGTCTGTCTGTCTGTCTGTCTGTCTGTCTGTCTGTCTGTACGTCTGTATATACGTATGTTCCGAATACAAAATTCCATTTCTGAACCGATCGGGACCAAACCCCCCGTGGGGGTGATCAGCATGCTCGATTACACCCCTCTGCCAAATTCCAGCCCCCTAGCTCAAATTTTGCAAAAAATCGATAAAATCGACATCAATCGATAACGAAAATTGGGCTGCGACACCCACCGGGGCCCGAAGTGTATGTGTGCCAAAATTGGTCCGGATTGGTTAAGAAATGGATTTTTCTATTCGGAACATACGGCGGAGCCGGGTAAGCCAGCTAGTAGGCAATATTTAGCACATTTGTCCTCAGCAGCGTTTCTTAAGTCTTAGAGCAATCATCATTTAAAGACTTGCATTAGTTTATTACAAGAAAAGATATAAAAAAGCAGGGAAAATGGATTGATCGATGAGTTTTCGCGAAGCATGTGCGCTAGGGAGACAATGGTTTGACCTACTGCGCTTCTGCTGCAATAGCGGTAACCCGCGCTATCTGGAATCATACTTAGCGCTCCAAGCGAAGCCCCGGCGCAGCTGGAGACGGAAGCGTATTGCTTATCGCGCATATTTTGCTGCCAATTCCTCATAACATTTCCACTGTATATTGTTTACAATACGTTACTGCGGGTGAGTGGTTATATAGCTTGGACCTTTGAAAAGAGCGAAATCCACGTATCATACATGTAGTCAAAAGCTGTTAAGACTTGATTTACGAGCTAATGTTATGGCCAGCTCCTCTTTGTTTCTATTCTTTATTACCTGAAGGCTTCTGCCGCTTTTTCTCACATTGATGGGAACCAATCTGGCATTACTGAACCATGCTTTCCTTTTTCCATGGAACTGACTAAAGAGTAAAGGAAAAACCCCAAACCAATACTTCACAGTTTAACACGTTGACGACAGTGCCGCGCAATGGTGCGCGGCGGCCTTAATTTCGAAACTATGGTTCCAATCCTCTCAGATTTTTTTTATATAATCAACGGAGGCTCAGATGTACTTCATGTATTAGTCCGCCCCTTTTGGCAAACTCCGCCCACTCCCATGCCCTCTCACAAGGACCCTCTTTGTTCATATACAGCATGAATGAAGCCATCTCAAGCAACTTTTAGCTGCCTCGCCCACCGTCAAGCAAACTTCGCCCCCTGAGTGCAAGCTCCGCCCATTTCAAAAGCGGCGGAATTCGCATGAGTTCTTAAAATTTGAGCAATTTCCGACATTTTTGGTTGATTGGGCGGAGCTTGCCACATGGGGCGGGGCTTGCACATTTCACATTTCATAGATGCATAGATGCATGCATACATACATGTGACCAGGCGTACGAATGCACGAAACGTCTCGTCCACAGGGACAGACCTCAAAAAAATGGCTCGTTGTCGCGGCTGGCGATGCAAGCCACTCCTCGAAACAGGAGGCCGGGAGCGCTGGCTATCGCGTTACTTGGCGCGCTACTCATTTCGCGCCAAGACCTCTTCTGCTGGGCGCGTTGCCAAGTCACAGGGTATATAAGGGGGCGCAGGCCGCGGTCTACGCCTCTTCGAGTTTCGTCGTATCGACCGTTTTATGATATCGTTCGTGCTGGCAGCGCCTCCAGCAGCTCCCGCAGATGACCATCAGTTTCGAGCGGTTGAGCCTTTGTCATTTTCTTGGTTTCGAAGGCTCGCAGTTTGTATTGTGGTTTGTCGCGCAGAAGCAATGGATTGCGGAAGCGGAGAGGGATCACACCGTCCCGGAAGGGCTAGGGGCTTGCGGTTGACCCAGTGGAGAACCCGGAACACATGTTGGAGACGATTATCGTGGAGCATCGGCAACACGAGACGAGGCGGCTCGTCCCGTGCCTTCTTTTCCTCTTTTTAGTAGTAGTAGTTTTAATAGCCTAGTAGTTTTTAGTAGTAGTTATTTTGTCTATTTGTAGATAAATGTAATTTGAACTACGTGCGTGTGATATTTGTGTTATACGGGTATGGGATGTTGGCGTCGAGCGGACGCGCTAGAGTGCGCGTACTAGCGCTGAAGCAGTGTGTCCTGGAGTTGGGAGTTGTGTCGTCAGGCGGACGAGCACTAGGGCGAGGGGTGCTGAGCACACCGAGCCGCAACACTCGTCGTCAACGTGTTAAGATTTCAATCTTTGATTAGATCATGGTGTGTTCCTCCGATGCAAATGAGATATTAGGGACGCGATGTTATTCTAAATCGCTTTCGAACACAACAATTGAACGCTCGATCTAATACAGGTAGAGATTGCTGCTTCATCACTACTCCGTCAAACCGATTTCACTATAGGGTGATTGTCGGAATGTCCCCCGTGCTGAAGCTTCTTCCGTCGCTCATTGTCAGAATATAGACAAAAATGAAGAAGAGTGAACATATTATAGTGACACAGCTCCTCCTACAGTCTCAAAATAACTTTCTTTCTGGCATAAAAGAAACTCAGAAAACTCAACGACGATCCTCGAAGTAATTTAGTAGGTGCGCTTATGGTCGAACAATGATTTATGGAAAATCAAGTTTTATCCGCTTTTTACTTGAAGATATAGGCTGTATCAGCCAGCATCGGTCCCGCGCCAGTATGACTTGCGACGACGCACCGTCGCACGCGACGTGCCTTAACGCGTAGCAGAGTTCGCACGCGTCATACCGCACCGTCGCAAGTTGCCGCCGGCGCGACGTCGCATGACCGATGCTGGCTGGTACAGGCTATACAAGCAATCAGAAAACTCAGGCATACAATAATAATTTATAGAGTACATTACGATTGTTGTCATTTGTGTTATGTATTGAGGCGTTTCCGCATTTGTAGCCGTTCTCATTTAGGCGCAGATCATATACAATTTCTTAAGCTTTCAAGGCTGTGGTTTCTTCGAAATCTCAAGTATAGGACATTCGAAAAGTCGTGACGATGGCGCGACCGCGCGCAACACACACGCGCCTTCCGGAAATCGCATTTTCTTGGTTTTCATCTTTGATCGAATGTTTTTTCTTTACTTATGATTATCTAAGCAATGGAAAAAAACAAATCGAAACAAAAACAGAGCGGTCGATTCATTTGAGTTCAATTTCTAGGCAATGGAAGTGACTGAGCCGAACTTAGGTGATGCTTCTTGTATGATCGTTTTATGCTCCTGTGGGCGCAAAGTTCGCAGTCGAATCCGTCGTCACGATTTTATATTAGACTATATAAGTATTCGTTCAGGGCAGCTACAACTATGGAGCAGCTGGTTTACCCTCTTTTTTGCTGTGTCTTCTAAAATCTGAGCTACGAAGTTATTTCTGAATTATAGTGAGGACAACTTGGTACTCTCTTTTAGAAATGCGAAACTCAACGTTTTGTGCGAGCATCTAATAGAGATTTTCTGGGTATATTTATTGTTGTGCACCCTCCACCATAATACATTCTTGAAAACCCCAAGTTAAAACGTGGTTATGATCTTTGAAAATCGCGTTTTGAATTTTTACTCTTTTTTCCAGAGGTTATTAGTTCCAGAGGATGATATGGGCAGAATTCTGAAAAAGCTTGTCCGAATATTTCATCGACGATTATCTGTTTATTGCTGACTAGTATGAAAGTTAGCAAGTGTAAGAGTAAGGCGACCCATTACTTTTCGGTTATCCTCAAGTGAGGTGGTGAGCGCTCCAGGTGTGATATAAGAAAACCTTTGAATGGAAACTAACTTACCAGCGAGACCAACTGCTACAATCCGATCTATGTGCTCGTTTTGCGGATTCAGTCTCGGCAGTGAGCTCGTGTCTTTTCTAAATAAAATCTATTTTGATTTGAAAAAGAAATCTCAAAGAAGCAGTGGCAGCGTAAGTCTACCGACTGAAACGGAACTAACTGTGCAGAGAAAAAGACCCAACAGTTTACACGTACATTGTCGCCCATCTCGTTGATTTTTTCGATTGCACTAAATGCGGCAACAATTAGCAAAATTGCTGCGAGTGCCGCTACTTCTAGGTTCTTACATCGCTGTTGTAAATGGGTCTGTTCTATTATGATAGGTCATCTTGCCAAGATTGTAGTAAAATTGTTCAAGACTTTTGAGAATTCCACCGAGATTTGGTCTATTAGGGAATGTCGTGTAACCGTAAGCCCATAGTCCAGCAGAAATCTCACTGTCTACTGCAAAGTAATCGGAGCCAAGGCGAGAGATGAATTTTGCTTCCTTAAAGTTTTGCATCTCTGAGACTGCATTCAACCCCACTACTCACATCAGCGTATTTTTCCTCATCTGCTCCGAAGTTGTACAAATCACCGATCATCAAGCACCTTCTGGGCTCAGGTGCTCTCGTTGTCTTAGTAGGTAGAGGCGTTGTCGTTCCTCTAGAATATCACCAATATCACATGTATTATTATTGTCTCTTGAAAGGTATCGCACCTATTCGGCAAAATAACATCTAAAACTCTCTTGACGTCATCGTCAGAATAGTGAAGAGGAACGCGAACAGCTTTGCCGCCTCTTCTAACCAAGCTGGTCACGTCTGTGTCTAAAACATTTCTCGAAAAATTAGTCTTATAAACTGCCTTGAGTATTGCCACTTGCTTTCTGCTTGCTTCAATTGATCTACCATCAGTGGTGACTTTTCTAGCTAAAATTTGGCATCCTCCTATTCCCAACAAGCTATTCACTGGATCTTCTTCGTGGTTACGATGAAGCAAAAGTTTTATATTTTCTCAAGTCTTTAACGTAAAGGAAGAAGTTATTTTAAAGGTTTTTTTCGTACTCTACTCCCTCGATTGTCCTAGCAAAGCATTCTCTGGGCTTTTTCCAGCCAATGGCAAAATTCTAATCTGGGCGCCTTTGTTCCTACTTTCGACAATTGCCGTAACAAGTTTCAATACTATATTTACAATTATCTCAATACTCTTTTACTTTCTTCTCCGCTAAGTCGTAGTATCTTCAATCCCTTCTTCAATGTTGTTCTATATACTTTAAAATTTCTTGCACCTATGTACTCACTTCATCGTTTCTTCAAATGAGCCATTAATTTATTTTTTCCTTCTTCATCACCACATAAGTGCCCTCATTTCCAGTTTTTCCATCGCAAGTGTCAAGAAGTTCCCCTTTAAAGTTTTTCGAATTTGCTCTTCGTTCCTGACTTCAGGTTTCTCGAATCCGTTTAGTTTTGTTGTTTTCCGAGTTTTCACAAGGAAGGTTGCCACATAATAAAACCGATATTTTCACTCGAACTCTCAGTATTTTGAAGCAAGAGCGGACTTCTATTCTTAAATGGTGTTCACCTAGCTATGATGCTTGCCATACTTTAATCGCACAAAAACACGTCCTCAAGTTCTTTCTTGGGTAAATTTCTGCAAGTGACCCATGATTTTCAACTTGCCGTTAAACTTATTTTAGCCAAATATTTACCAACTAGGTCCAAAATTCCCCTCTGCTGTCAAACATGTTTTGCGCATCTTTTTTGGCTCAAGTTCGCTTAACGGTCACCACTGGACCTTTCTGTGGTTCTACCCAATTGTCTGGAACTCACGTTGGACATCAAGTTTTGATGTCTAAACTTGGCGAAAAGCTTCACTATGTCAAAGGATTTCGTCAAACTTTGATAAACCCTTATGTTGAAAGAACGCACACTTTGTGTGCAACTCTCAGCAAATAGCTTCAATTGTAAACAGCTTTTATTACTAAAATGGCTATATTTTGATCACCTTCGGGAAAAAGTTGAGACAATCTCCAAATCGGCATGCGGTGTATAATTTTCTTGCTTTCAGAAACGATTGATGGTCGTGAACACGCACTTGATTATGTTACAGTTGGATTTCATTTTATTCATGTAGCCAAAGAACAATCTTTTGCACAGACCTAGTTTTGATGTCGTGCACAATAATTATTACCATCATTTGAATTCATCTGTGGCTTGACAAATGGTTCCAAATTAACGTCTTCACGAATATAAAAGTTCATTTAAGTGATTTTACGTAAATGTTCCGATTTTGGTTTGAAATTCGAGAATTGGAAGGATGATTTTTTCACGCGCAAAGTCGGTGCCAGAGCTGAATTTACTGATGCTCCGTCGCCAAATTACGCGTAGGAGCAATCTGGCGCTATTCCAAACTTTCACTGTATTAGAGCATTTTTTCAATAAAGTCCGAACTATCTTTATAAAACGTCGTCTACCTAGCTAGTTAGAAAACAACAACAATGAAGATAAGGTTTGCGAAATTGCGCTAACAGAGGAGGGCTAGTTAGTCAAAGTGAGCTTTCAGAATGAGATAAGTATTGCTTCGAAGCGCATGGAACACTAACTCCAAATCTGCCTTTCTTATTTGCTGCAGGTTTTTGGGCGTGGAATCACGCAGGTTTTTACGAGCAAAAATCTGAATGCATGATTAGCGCAAGATCAGTCATAAACAGATTCTAGCGTTTCAATCGAGAATATTTGTTGAACAGAGTGACTCTGCAATCACTTCGACCGCTAGGAACCATGTTGCGACTGCGACTACCTTCTTTTCCGTGTAAAATGCATTAGGACAAGTACAATTGGCTTACACTGCATGTATAACGTTCCTAGGTTGATAAAATGCCCTCTCTTCTGTACATTAAAATCCCTTACAATGAACTGAATAGAAGTATTACCAAACCGCGTTGCGTCTGAAATCGCGTGAGGTATGTCCAGGACCTAATACAGTGTCATAATTTGCTTGAACGGGAATTATTTTACTTGTTTCCGGTGTCCCAAAGTATGTATACACACTGTTCACTATTCTCCATTCACACAATTGCTGATGTTCAACGCCTTATAGAGCTGACTCCAGCTTAGAGTTCGAATACTGCCAACTTCCGATCCCCTTTCAGCATCGTAAGATTGTGATAGGAACTTTATGAAGCGTTACTGTAAATGTGACCGTTCTAAAAAATCCAAAAATTTTAGAATTCTCGTAACGAAGTTTTCACATATGCTGATTTCACACTTAAGTTACGAGTTTTTCAGGCTAGATGGTGCAATCACATTTTCCAGGAAGATCTAGAAATGTTTAAGGTATACCTAAGACAACTTTGAGCGAAGCATCTGCGGTATAATGCAGGGATTATAGGTAAAATATTGCGTTTGATAGCTCAAATCTGCTTTGAAATTTCTAGCGTAATCTTACAACATTGAGTAATGATCAACTGATTTGCACACTGTAATCTGTAACTTGAAACCGGTTTCACAGAGTGGTACATAAATGTGTGGAAATTAAATTTATGGGAAAAAAAGGTATAAAGATCAAACGATCAAAATATGCATACTTTTGTACTTCTTCCCATTTTGGGGACGATGTGCCAGTAGACTGAAGTTAACGCAGAGCCTCGCGCGCAATCAAAAGAACGAGATTTGCAGGAATACCGTACGTTTTTTTTTGCTCTGAAGAATCACAAAGCATTTTTCTAGTCAATATAATGACAATGAATGCATCAGGAGAAAAATGGGATGAGTCACCTTTTGTTTTATATTCCTTCAAAGCACCAGATTCCACAAAGAATCTTCTTTACTTGAGTTAGTCATTTCTTATAAGGACTCGAATAAATGAGAACTTTTAGTTGCTGGCTTTTTTGAATATTGGTGCTTCACAAGAATGTAAATGTAGGTAAAAGATTTCGAGGGCATTCTGAAATATTAACTGCGGTTGCTTACTTCATGAATACTGAATATATTTGTAGATAATGTTGATCATTGTATCTATATCAAGAGAAAGCATCGCTGATTACTGAGGAAATCATCACATTGTAAAATGGAAACTTGTGAATGCCATTCTTGCATCACTTTGGCTTTGGCCATACTTTATCCGTATTACCCATGTTACCAGTGTTACCCGTGTTACTCGTGTTACTAGTGTTACTCGTGTTACTCACCTGTCAAAGATATTGCGTTAATGAGATTGTATAGTGATCATTTTACTATTCAACAGCAATAAAAGCGGTAACGGAAGTAGCACCATTAACCAGGGCTCGGCACGAGGTGGCTAGATGAAAATGGAAAAAACAAAGTCCCCCTTGACTTTTGGGAATTTTTACGAAGTCCCCTTTGACCCTCAACCAAATTTCCTCTAAAAACCTGAAAAATTCCCCAAAATCCCCCAAAAAACGAAACGTCGACTAAAAAAAAAGGTCGCCGTCGCCAATTTTCCGTGTCTCTTCGGTCACAAAAACGAAACCCACTTTGCTTTTCGTCCCAAAAAACGATACCAGCTGGCTTACAAGCCACCTGTGCCGAGCCGTGCCATTAACACGAGTAACACTGGTAACATCAGTAACAAGGGTAACACGGATGAAGTATGGCCAAAGCCTTTGGTATTTTTGCATAACTCTGTTGCTCGCTTGCTGTGCAATAAGCTGCTGATATCAAATGATAAGGGTCATGAGCAGGCATTGTAATGATGCAAATATCTAATATATTCTTTGTTAAGTGAAGTCTGGCGAACTGTTTTCGGTATGTTGCATTTGTTGATAAATATATGCAGTATCGAGAACTCTTTTGACGAATTCAGAGTTGAAAAAAATGCCTGTTCAAAAATTTCATATCTCACATTGTTGCAAGTAGGGCTCATTTATGCTTTTGTATTGAAAAAGCTCACCAGCGAAGCCGACTGCTACAATCTGATCAATGTAGCGGTTTTGAGGATCGAGAGGTGGCAACGATCCTGTGTCATTCCTAGATAACAAGCAAATCATTTTTACCTCATTGCACACTTGTCTATCTCCAAGTCGTACGACTTCGAAAAAAAACTAACTGTGCAGAGAAAAAGACCCAGCAGGTTACACGTACATCATCACCCATCTCGTTGATTTTCTCAATTGCCCTGAATGTGGCATTAATCAGCTAAAAATTTCTGCAGCTTTTTATTTATATAATTCGCAGTTTCTCACGTCGCCGTTGTGAATGGATCCGTTCTATTATGATACGTCATTTTTTTGAGATTGTAGAAAAAGGTGGGATAACTTGTAGTAACTCCACCAAGATTTGGTCTATTAGGGAATGTTGTGTATCCGTAAGCCCATAGTCCTCCGTAGAGTTCACTATCAGCTGCAAAGTAGTCGTATCCAAGACGAGAAATAAATTCTGCTTCCTTAAATGTCTGTGTCATAGAACTGGCTGCAATTACCTCAAAACCTGCTCACATCTAAATACTTTTCCTCATCAGCTCCAAAATTATACAAATCACCAATCATCAGGCATCTTTTAGGTAGTGGTGCTGTAAAGAGAATTATTCTTTTGTTCATCGAAACAGGTTGCACTAAATGTTTCCAAAGTTCTGTCCGATTTGCAGATTTTCTAATTCAAAAAGCTATCACTTTTTTAAAACCAGTTTTTTTTTTGAACATTCAAATTTCGTTGCACTAAGCCTAGGCCTATTATGTAAACGGAGTGACAAATGAAAAAGGCAAGCAAAAGAAGATAAAAATTCTTTCGAATTTTGACAACGTTTTTTTTTGAAACCGTCCATGATATAATAATGTTCCCGCATAAGGAAAGGCAGATAAATGGTCAGTATCAAGTAGCCTAAACCTATAGCCTAACCAAGTAGCCTATGGACTGAAAAAAAAATTCATGTACTCTTTGTGCTGCATAGATTTTTGTGAGCGGATTCAAAAAACGCCACTAGTTGAAGGCAACGTCCAGGCAGATCTGGACCTATGGGGATTTTACTTGGTAATTTTGGGGCCCTAACTAAGGCAATGCCCAAGCGGCAGCGCAGGTGATTCACTGACAGCTGAGATATGCTCCTCCAAACTGGACCCCAGGATCGTATTCGCATGGATTCATGGCAGTTTCTTGCGAGGACCCACGCGTTACGCCATGAATTCATGCGAAATACGATCGCGGGGTCCAGTTTCGAGGGGAATATCTCAGCCACTGGAGCTCTACTTGAGCTGCCGGTTGAGCAGTGGCTTAGTTAGGGCCCCAAAGTTATTATACACGTGAATCTCCATGTGTCCAGACTTGCCTGGACGCTGCCTTTGAGGTCTCCCTCGCGACATGCTGGCTATTTAATAATTTTTTACTTGTCACGGACGAAAAGAACTAAATGGCCATGGATCCCTGCTTGCTCCTGCGTTCTCTGACGTAAACAACATCAAATCACTTCTCTCTATGCGTAGATTATTGTCGATTGTAGAGTAGCTAAGAGAAGCTTTGCTTTTGAAGACAAGTTTAAGAAGTAATAAAATTTATATCTGAGATAAAATGTGCACTAGCACATATCCTTACCTAATATAAAACATCTGAGAACATATAATAGAAATATTTTTCTTATACCAGGATTTCGGCAGCTTGTGCTTGTGAGTTAAAATCCCATAACTAGGGGTAATCATGAAAGGTATAATAAATACCAAAAAAGCAAATATAATAAAAATAATAATATACAGGGTGTCCCAAAAAATGTCCTGCTGTTTGATCGTTAATAACTCTCTTGTTATTTATTTGAGAGGTTTTGAGTACCAATTTATAGAGCTGACTTTAGCTTAGATACATAGTAGGCAGAGATACGTTGCCTCTTTAATACTGTAGGAATGCGGTAGGTATTTTGTGCAGGGTTTTGCATGATTGAGGGTCATATTTATCTCTGAAGCAGGACTAAAGAAGCTGAAAAAATTTCTACATCAGGTCAATCGTCGCTGTCAGTCGCTCATTTTTATATGAAACTCGCACCTTATTGTAACGGAATTTTCGCTAATTATGCCAGATATACCTACAACCTAGCCGATTTTTGATAATCGTCAAGGATTTGGTTACATCATTTGAAAAGCCTTGCGAACGCCCAATAAGTTATTCATTATAATCAACATGCAGAAAATGGCAATTGCGTTACAGAAAAACTATTTTGGAAGGCTTCTCTGTGGCGCCAATTGCCGCGAGTTCCTACCGTAATCCTACAGTACGAAGGAAAGATCGAGATTCGTACCATGCAATCTGAGCTGAAGCCCGCTTTACAAAATGGTACCTAAACCTTCTTGAGAGATGCCAAAACGAGAGAGTTATTAACAATCAAACAGGAAGCACATTGTTTTGGGACACTGTACATTTCCTTACACAAGTGCAAGGTTCTTAGAAAATAGCTGCTTCAATTTTAAGGCGACAAAAATCAGACAGAACTTTTCAAACAACTAAGAGAAGTCATCAGCTCGGACATATATCTAGAATGCATAAGGCACGCTAGGAGTGCATACCCATAGTGGTTCTTGTGGTAGGCGACCTACGTGGTATAGTTGTTGTACTACGTGGTGGTGCCGGAGTTCTTCTAAAATACTCTTCTAAAATATTAATTTAAGTCAAAAGCGCTACACATTGCAGCTACACCTTCCCAATAAAATGGCATCCAAAACTTTTTTGACATCTTGATCAGTGTAATGAGAAGGAATGCTAATAGCTTGTCCGCGTAATTTCACCAAACTGGTCACGTCTGTGTCTGAAAGAGAAGTTGTGCTAAGTAAGCAGATACCAAGCTATACATAACCCTTGATTCAACTGGCTTGGCTCCTGGAAGGCGAGCTTTGTGACCTATTTAAGGCCGCTTGGCTTGCCTGCGTCTCTCCCGTGCGCGTGCTCTCTGATCATTACATAGCCTTAATTAGGTCACAAGGCTCCGCCTTCCAGGAGCCAAGCCAGTTTAAAGGGTACCTATGCTTGGTACTCAAAATGTTTGGAGAAAGTAAGGATTTCAGTCTCGCCTCATCGATTGGACTTTGCGTATTGACCATCTCAGTGCAATAAATTTTAGATGGAAGATTTTTATTTTCTACAAAAGGATTCATGTCTTCCATAGAGCAACTCGTGGGCAAAATAAGCGCTCTGATGATAAGAGCAACATAATCAAAAGTGCTTGCCAATTGATAGATATTGTAAAGTATTGTAAACACTCTTCGGATTTCGTGCGTTACGTTTGCAAGAGCGGTTGAGCTCGTTTTGCTATTCTTGAGTTGAGGAACTCGTTGGAAAACAGTTGCCCTGCATTCACAAATGCTTAATCTCGCAGAAACGTTCAGAATGGATATAGAATTGGCAAAGTTTGAGATTTTCGCTAGCTTTCAAGTAATTATTTAGAAAGTAATTAGAAATAGTAATTAGAAATCTGTAATGCTACATCATTTTCGAAAATCAACTTATTGTTAGTCAAAAGCGTTCAAGCACAGTGATTGGCCTAGAATACCTTTATAGTCTACAATGAAGTTGTAAATTTTTCTTGAAGGTCAACTAAAGGTATTCTTGTAACTAACAAAGGGATCCAGGTCGAAATCGGCTTTCCACGAAACGTTAGTATCATTCTAAGGGCATTACACGCTAATTTCAAGGCTCTCTTTGTTTTGTTTTTTTTTTCTAAGCTCTTCTAGTCGCTCAATTTTGATTGTTTATTGAAGAGACATGATAGCAAGTTTAGGTAAAATCGATGTTACAATCTTTCCAGGACTAAAATAGAGAAGTGTTGAGTACAAGTACATTTAACAAAAGATATTTCATGCATAGAGTGTTCTGATACCCAACATTGAGCCATTTGCGCGATCTTGTATTTGTTCCAGTTGCTCCTTCCAATTTTTTGAGCAAAAAAAATGGCAAAAAACGCTAAACTCATAACTCAGCATTTAGAAATGCTTGACAGATAAGTAGCAGAGGCAATACAGTTTTGGAACCAGCGTTTAATGCTCTTCATAGTGGTGTATATCTCATGTGAAAAGCCGATTCGCCTTCAGGTCCTTCCCTGATAGGTTATATCGGTGACTTTAAGGGAGTATAGAGCCGGGCACTGGAGACGCTTTAAAGGCAGTGGATCAGCAGAATCGACTTTTCTCGGATTTTGGTGGATTTAGGTTGGGGTAAACCCCCAAGTACATTGTAGCCCAAACCCCACCCGCCAATTCATGCGCTAAGTCCTGGACAATGCGCTTAAAAATTCTACCAGCCCCGCCTACTCAATGCGAAGGGGCGGGGCTGGTGGAATTTTTAAGCGCATTGTTCAGGAATTAGCGCATGAATTGGCGGGTGAGGTTTGGGCTACAGTGTACTTGGGGGTCTACTACCTAAATCCACCAAAAACCGAGAAGGGTCCGTTCTACTGATCCACTGCCTTCAAAGCTAGAGAGTACGAGTACTATTAATTTGAAAAGGAGGTTTTGCAGTTTTTTCAACATGTTCGGATGTCTGCCGTGCCTTACTTAATAATGTGCATTTCATCCATCGCCGCGGCGACCTGACCGACCAACTCTTCACTAGATCCTTTTCTAGTAAGAACCAGGAATTTGGTCTTTTCTTTGAAAATGCAGTTTATGTTGCAGATCCGTAACTCGAATGCAACCCGGAACGAATAAGACCGTTAACTGCCTGCCCCAAAGACAGTCCGTGCTCTTGGAAATCTTAGCTACTACTTTACTATCCGCAGCCAATATACAGGGTGTCCCAAAATAATGTGCACACTGTTTGGTTTTGAATAGCTCTCTTATTATGAGGTCTTTCGAGAAGCCGTAAGCGCCATTTTGTAGAGCTGGCTTCAACTTAGATTTACAGTATAGAGCGAATCACCGTCCCCCTTCATTACTGTAGGATTACGGTAGAAACTTGGAACATACGGTGTCACTGTAGAAAAAGCTGCCGTTTCAAAAATTTTCAAAAAAAATGTGAAAACTTGTGTAATAGGGTTTTTAGGAGCGCTGAGTTCAATACTCAACTATTCGAAATTGCGAAGCTTTCTAAACGGTGTAACCGCACTTTTTGGGAACATTGAAAAAATGGCCGCTACTGCTTACCTCTCATAACTCTTCAGTGAAGCATCATAATAAGTTGGGGACTTTAGAGTTAGAATCAGCAACTCTAATTGGCCTAGTGTAAAAGTTTTTAAGCTGTTTTGATTCATTTCTAAGGCAAAACATGGCCTTTTATGGCCCAAAACGCTCTTTCAAGTTTCTACCGTAATCCTACAGTAATGAAGGGGGACGGTGATTCGCTCTATACTGTAAATCTAAGTTGAAGCCAGCTCTACAAAATGGCGCTGACGGCTTCTCGAAAGACCTCATAATAAGAGAGTTATTCAAAATCAAACAATGTGCACATTATTTTGGGACACCTTGTATATATATATAGGCCTGGCCCGCGTTTTCGAGCGGGTCGAAAAATGTGAAGAAGAGTTCAATCGTGTTCAAAGTGCTAGTCTCAGTACACGAATAAGTTTGAACTTTTGGACGAAAAAGCGCATAGGTCTTTCATGAAATTTTTCACTGATTTTTTGTAATTCATCTTTTCGTAAAAAGCCTACTACGGAGGATGAATATGATTTTCTCAGTGAACATTTCATAATACCCCTTAGACCAAGTTTTATGTGAATTTGTGGTAACCCGTTTTTCTTTCCTCTCCATGCCTTACGATAAATTCCGAGATAATAGAATACGACAGAAAGTTTTAGCAACTCACATGTAATCATTATAATGGCGAAAAAAGTATGCGCCATATTCGAAAAGATAAAAAGAAGATAAGTTGCATTACATATGTACCACCTAATACCCTTCAAGTCGCAACCATGTTACTCCTTTTATTACACTTTCTCTATTTTTCAAGAATTCCATTTACGAGACACTCGAAAAAAGCGTTAACAATTTCTTCGCTCAAACGCAGTCACAGCTGTTCAATTATCTGCAGTGCTAATATTGTTGAACTTACCAGCAAGACCAACTGCTACGATCTTGTCTATCCTAGGGTTCCGAGGGTTGAGTGGTGGCAGCAACTCTGTGTTGTTCTTCCTAGACAGCAAGTAAAAACTTTCCAAAGATGAAAAAAATAACTGTGTAACACGACTTGAAAGAAAACTTACTGTGCAGTGAAAAATACCCAGCAATTTACACGAATATCGTCTCCCATACCGTTAATTGCCTTGATTGCGCTAAATGCGGCAAATCAGCGAAACATACTGCACATACTATAACACTTGTAGCTTCTCACATCTCCGTTGTAAATGGGTCTGTTCTATTATGGTAGGTCATTTTCTTAAGATTGTAGTTAAAATTGTGAAGACTGTGGACGATTCCACCGAGATTTGGTCTATTTGGGAATGTCGTGTAACCGTAAGCCCATAGTCCAGCAGCAATCTCACTGTCCACTTCAAAGTAATCGTACCCGAGACGAGCGATAAATTCTGCTTCCTTAAATATTTGTGTCATCTACGTGTGTAATGCAGTTCAGTCTCTCTCTCAGTCTGCTTACATCAAGATACTTGTCCTCATCCGCTCCGAAATTGTATAAATCACCGATCATCAAGCAGCTCCTTGGATATGGTCCTGCAATGAGAAGCTTTCTAACTGCATCGTAGTATAAATCAAAACAATCTAAAGGTTCCCATTGGACGAATTTTCAAATTCATGACCATAGCGGTAGGTCAACCATAGGTTTGCACTCAAAATATGCATATGTTTTCTTCGTCTTATATGTATAGAGGTGTTTTACTCCCCTGAATTTCTTAAACATTATTATGCAAACGTATATTAAAAATTGTTTGAATTTTCAGCATGTACCGGAGAAAGTTCAAGCGTAATTTAACTTTTGCTTATCAGCGAGTTAGTAAATTTTATACAAATCTATGGTAGATTACAAAGAACATACTTCTGGTCGTCGTGGGTGATCCTGTTGTCCAAGGTTTATTGCTAAAAGTAATTCTTGGCAGCCTTTTCCATCAACACTTTCTGACTCACTCTTTAATAGCGTTTACAATTTTTTTAACATCGTCGTCTTTATAATAATACGGAACAGATATTACTTTGCCACCAGCTGGGACAATACTTTGTGGATCTGTTCCTGAAAGAAACAAATGTGATTTCTGGTTATTCTTTCACAAGGTTTCAAAAAAAAAGAGAAAGTTTGTTTGATATTTGCTCAATAATTGGCACACCTCTTAGGCCTACGGCCACTAATGATTCAATGCCTTCATTCTTGGGATTTAACTTCGGCAAATCCGCTGTATCAGATCTGTATGCTGCTTTATGATAATACTCTAATGATTGATCTCTAGAAAAGACTCACTGGGCAGTGAAGAAAACCAAGCAGTTCAGTTTTTCTTCCACCATTTCGTTAATTGCTTTTATAGCCCTAAATGCTTTACATATTTTCACAAACATCAGTATTCTATTCCGTACCTTTCCGTATTGATGACATCACTGACATTAGCATAATCAATTTTCATCAATAACTGATCAAATTCACTCCCATTTTTAGCCATTTTATTCAAAGCATCAAGGATATTTTTGGGATAGTTTGTATAGCCATATGCCCAAAGCGCTAACTGCGTGTTCAAGGTAGGCAGAGCAAAGACATCATAGGCTACTTGAGAAAGTAGCTCCAACTCCTGAAAATTAACTTCACTTCTTAAAAATTTTGCCTGCCTCGTACCATATCGTATCCCTCAGTATTGCTTCCATAGTTAAAAACATCTCCAATAAACATGCAATTTAGTCTTCTTTTTGGCGTTGGGGTTGTACCTAGAAGCAAGACCAATTTCAACATAAAAATCAGTAAATTCAGTAGTCATGGAAATTGCCATCAGTCTGTTTTCAATAAATAAATGGTAGGTCCTGCTGTCGGAAAGGTTGTTCAACAAAAGCGCAGTACTAAAGATATATACTACTATTTTAATTGTCTGTATAATCATATAATCACTCAGACAAATGGCCGGAACTTCCGTAGAGCGCTTGCGGAAGTTCCGCCGGGTCACCTGCGGAAGTTCCGTAAACGTGCTGCGGAAGTTCCGAAATGAGGTCCTGCGGAAGTTCCGAAGAATGCCAACCACAACAGCAAAAGAGAACAACGGGTGGAGATTTGAACCTCATTCTATTGACTGTGAGACCCACCTACTATCCTCTACGCTACGGCTGACATGTTCGATAATCCACTCTAGTTGTTGGCGAGGCAATATCACGAGAGAACACAACACAAGTTCTGGCAGGCCAAAGTGCTGCGGAACATCTGGCATTTTTCGGAAGTTTCGCAGGACTTTGAAGAAGGTTCTGCCGAAGTTCCGGTTTCCAACCAGTTTGACATGAAAATCCAGCAGAAGTTTCGATTTTCAACGTTTTCATTTTTGCAATAGTGAACAAAGTCCTGCGGAACTTCTGTAAATTCGGCTTGTCCTGCGGAAGTTCCGGTGATTTGTCTGAGCATGTAACATCTCATGTGTCTGTCTGCGTTTCAACAGAAAGCTAAGTTTTGAACACTGGCTAAACATCACATATTGACTGCAAATGGACAAGTAACAATTCTGGTGAAGCAGGTAATCGATGCTCATTTAGTGATATTTCCATCTTTTACGCTATGTTTCGAAAATCAGCACTTTAAATGATCGATCATGCATCACTATTTTGATTATCGTTGTTTCGTCTATTGCAGATTGAGGTAAGATTAGGTACAAAAAATCAGTTTATCTCAGTAATGTGGCAATCAGTATAGTTACCTGTTCCGAGTGTTATTAAAAATGCAGGAACTTATGTTAGCAATGAAAGTCATGAGACTACAGGTAATTGTCATGACTGCATCACAACAAATAGTTAATGGTTGCTTTTGTTTGTCGATATATCTTGCAAAGTGGAAAGCCTCAAAGCTGGTAGTCGTCTACCCGAGGTCAGTAAGGTTTTGGTACAAAAAGTGCTTTCAACTGCTCACGATTCCTTACAGGTGGATTTCAAATACAGAAATCTCTCCTAAAGGTAAGTACGCCTTAAATAACTTTCTTTATCGTAGCAATGGTTTGAATCTATTTAATCTTATCTGAAAAGGTTGGAAATCTTCTTTTAATGAAGAAAAGGAGACTGTTGCCATTTCTATGTGCTTTGTAGCTCTCATAGTGAGAATCTTCAGACCATATGGGCGAGATTGTCTGCCTCTATCTCTATGTCTCCTGGCCTTTCCCACTTTGAACATTTTTTCTTGCTGCACTTGGCAACTACAGCTAGAGGCCCATCTTTTTTATTGCATTAAAGGTTGCCTTCAAAGGTAGTGCTCAAGCAAAATCGGCTTAACTTAAATCTTTATAAATTTTAATGTCTTTTTTCAACCGAAACAGACACGTTCGAACACTGTACTTTCAGAGCTCCGAACACAAACGAATCAACTTCAAACCCTTCTTACGGAATTTTGGTTTTTTTTTCAAATAAGCTTACGGGGAGAGGACACTTTGTGGCCGTGGCCTTTCCATAAGAGACGCAAAGCATTTCAAGCACATCAATCGCTGATAGCAAGTCTGTCTTCCTTATCTGCGGAGCGCCTCTGAGTGAGAGTTTATGAGACTTTTATGAATCAAAAAATTGCTCCTGGCCAGACAGCGCAAAGATGGAGTAATGGCGAGCACGAAGGTAGTAAGCAGGATTTCCTTGCGTAGAGAGATTTAACAATAACCTGGGTTCCATCTAAGCTCACAAGAGACCTTTAGCAATGTTTTTCTTCTAAATGCGCATTCAATTTTTCGTTATAAAACCTCTCTAACTCCTTGCCCAAAGGGCCTGGAGGGGGGGGGGGAAGGGAGGGCGTGGCTGCCTATACGCCACATATGGCATGTGCCATCTAAATTTGTGATTTCTGCCACACTCAATTTTGAATTTTCTCACAAGGTGCGCAGTTGCTTTTCCTCTTCTAGCATACACACCATTCTTGGAATCAAAACATTAGCTGACTGTCATATGCAACTATTTGTTCGTCTAACAAGGAAAGGATACTAAATTAGATTCGACTTTTGAGATAACACACATATATTTGGAATCAGCTTAGAACGCTGATTCCAAATATGCTATTTCTAGCTGCTTAGCATCATTCTTAAGCGAGTTATGGTCTTTTTTCTATGTAAAGTTTGCGTGCATCTAGACCTGCTGATGCTACGGTGTTGACGTCTAGGTGGTTTTGCAATTGTATAATGCTTCCTTTCAAGATCGAAAGAATTAATCTGATGCTAGTTCAATATCCTGACACTTTTTTCGAGTAGATTCTTATCTATACGCCGTCTTACGACATTCAGAAGTTTGTTAATTACTCACAACGACAAGCCCATAACTCGCTTCGGAATGAAGCTAAGCAGCTAGGAATAGCATGATTGGAATCAACGTTCAAAGCTGATTCCAAATGTATGTTTCACATCTCAAAAGGCGAATCTTAGTTAGTATCCTTCCCTTGTAAGGCAAATTAGATTTAGTGCCGCATTTGAGCTGCCTGTAAAACAGGAGCTGAAAATGAGTGGCTCTACACGCATAACCTATAATCAGGGATGTTATCCACTCATGTTAGAAATTCGAGTGGAAAAAGCTCCGGTTTTACTCACCAATGTATATTTTTGCCTACGTCTCACTGAAGCTTCTGAAAGAGAAATACACGATGCTTTACGGTCCCAAGTGCACCTATGGCTTCTAACACAACCCAATATTTGCACACATCCTGAAGTGACTACCGGGACATTCAAACAGGGATATAGTGGTAATCACAGATTACCAGTCCACCTTATACATCGTGTTCAGTAGCGTACCGAGAGGGGTATGCCGTATGCCCCCCCCCTTTCGGGAATGGGTCGCGAAATTTTTGAAAGTTACTTAATGAGTTGTAAAAATGCGCCAGTGATTTGTCTCTACTTGCAAATAATGAAAATAATTTTTGAAATTTTTTGAAAATTCACTCAGACTTATAAAAAAATTTTTCGGGGGCGAAATTCGGGTTTATGAGCCCTCAAAAATTTCAGAAAGCACCAGAAATTTTTTGTGGAGTGCGTGGCTAACGCCACACACCTCCATCAGAGAAATTTTCTGTCTTCCCCCCCCTTGAACGGAAATCCTGGGTACGCCCACTGATTGCGCACTCTTTCTATGAGGTATAACCTATGTTGTCCGGAGTGCTTTAAACATTTTATACCAAAGATTTGACAGTTCGTTGATTTTGGACATTTGCACACCAATATTGTTATTTATCGATTTTTATGCCATTTACGCAGGCTAACTGCGTAAATGGCATAAAAAGTACGGCGAGGAAGGTCACAGGTTCGGTTCCGCGGCGGGCCTAGTTTCTTTGGCAAAAAGCTCTGACCACGATTCCAGCGTCACCCAAAAGGAAGCAAGCGACAAGCCGGCTGAAGAAGACACTACGTCGCCTCAGATGCTCTTTTATGTCTCAACACAATTCTCGTATAAAAGCTAGGGCATTCCCCGGAGCCCCACGGATGCGGACAGTAGGCGAGGGTTACCGTCTCAGCAAGGTGAACGGGGACGGCCAAAGAAGCTAGTTCACCATAAGAAGATTTCCAAATTCTCGGCATTACGTCTAGCCACCAACGTCGGTTCTCTCACATCTCGACATCGCGAACTTGCCGATCTTTTTAAAAGACGTAAAGTAGACGTTGCTTGTATTCAGGAGACCAGATGGAAGGGTGAAAGGGCACGGGATATCGGAGATGGCTACAAACTTCTGTACAAAGGAACGAACAACAAAGCAACGGTGTCGGCATAGTCGTCTCTGAAGCGTTGAGGAACAGAGTATTAGCTGTAGATCGACTGAGTGACCGTCTCATGGGTATAAGACTAGATACCGGGAAGAGTGCACTTCGAATAATAACGGCCTATGCAATGCACCACAAGCAGGCTGCGAAGAAGCGGAGAAGGAGGAATTTTGGCAAATGCTTGATGACTACGTCAGCTCCATACCACATGAAGAAATGCTTCTCATCGGTGCAAATCTCAATGGGCACGCAGGAGAACAACGGAGCGGTCTACAGAAGTGCCACGGCAATCACGAGTACTGAACGCGTAATAATGAAGGAGATCGTATCCTGGAATTCGCTACAGCTCATGAATTAGCCTTGGCAAACACTTACTTCATCAAGAAGACCAATCACCTCGTCACGTGTGCTAGTGGAGAACGCAAATCGCAGATAGACTTCTGAAGTGTACTGTACAACGAGCTGAAGTACGTGAAAGACAGCAAAGTCATCCCAGATGAAGATTGCATGCCACAACATCGGCCACTAATACTAGATCTCAAAATGCCAGTAGACAGGAAAAGGAGGGCTACGACAGAAGCTGAAGTACGCATCAAGTGGTGGAAACTCAAGAACGACGCCCGTACAAGAACGCTAATATAATCCGCCCTGCCAGAAGTGGGAAGTGATCCAAACCATTCCGTGACGAATCTGAAGAACATCATCCATCAGATAGCTGGCGATCTACTTGGGCGCACGAAGCCAGGAAGAAGGAAGCTTGACAAGGAAACATGGCGCTAGAACGATGAACTGTAGCTAGTGATAAAAAGCAAGAAAATGGCGTACAGAGCGTGGCAAAAGACAAGGACAGAAGATGCACATCAGAGGTACCTAGAATCGAAACGTGAAGCCAAGAAGAGAGCCAGAGAAGCAAAAGAAGCATACGTAGCAGAACTGTATGGCACATTGCGTGCTCGCGAAGGTGAACGAGAAGTATAATGGATCGCTAGAAGAAGAGCAAATGTCGCAAAAGACGTT